CACAAAAATGTCGTGACTTTGGGGGGGACGCGGGAAGGGCGGGGGAGGCACGAGGGAGGCGGGAAAGGCGAGGAGGTTGGGGGGAGGGACAGTAAAGCATCTCTTCATGTAGCGGCCATGCCCAAAAATATTGATACTTCTAGCGTGTTTGTATCTTGTTAGAGCATAATTACTACGGATTCAAGGATGCTTGTCGATTCTGTAACCAGACTTGCTGCCGCAAGCATTCATGCCTCTGGCATGCATGCCCCATGCGAACACTGGCATGCACAGGGTACCTAAAGGCTCCTATGTGGTACCTTTTTGGGATAGTATACTGGAATCCTCTATAACAAACCCAAAAAAGGACCACATGGGAGACTCCAGGTATTCTGGAAAAACATACTACACAAGATGTTTCACGTTTCTCCAACATGCCGCACTGTCACAAGCGATCATGCCTCCTGCGACATTCTCAAAACACTGGTGTGTGCAGCGTTTTCTTGCTCTTTTGTGCATTCTACTGATTCAACTTTGAAGTCATACCCCCCCCCCCCCCCAAAAAAAAAAAAGGCAGCTCGAGAAAGCCATGCGGTTCGTGAAATGAGCCTTGCGGGATTCTACCACGGCGTTTTAGCAGTCATGCGTCACGGAGTTTCCCGAACCGGCGCAAGACATGTCGAGGACGCGCAGTATCCTGCAGTCATCTGCAAAACCATGCGAACCCTAAACCCTAACCCTAAAACCTAAATCCTAAACTGAGCATGCGAGAGCTCCTAGGCTCCTAACCCCCAAATATGCCCGAAACCCTGAGCGCCGCCGGCAGTTCCTTTGCTCCGCCTGTCTTGTGCCACAGTATCAACGTGGGTTTAGGGCTTAGAGTTTAGGGCGTGCCAAATGGAAGCCACTTACAACTCTCATGGAGTTAAGGCCTTCCTTTTTTACAAGCACATGCACTCTTGCTGCAAGGTGGTTTAGGCGAACTCGATATGAAACTCTGCACTGAAGCCACCTATGAGTTGTGTCACATGGGTCACGTGGAGCACTTGGGGGACACTTAGCTCACCTGGATGAGTCGGGACCTGGGGCACTTTCATATGAGATACTTGTGTGCACTTGGGATTGCCCTCCCAGCCTCACACGAGCCCGAAGGCTTCCCGAGCTTTCAGGGACACCTAAACCCTAAACCCTAAACCCTAAACCCTAAACCCTAAACCCTAAACCCTAAACCCTAAACCCTAAACCCTAAACCCTAAACCCTATTGGAACACTTGGGTAGCCTGGAAGCCGCTAGCCTGGGCTCTCTCGCAGGGTCTCACTAACACCAGCAGCAGCAGTAGCAGCAGCAGCAGCAGCAGCAGCAGCAGCAGCAGCAGCAGCAGCAGCAGCAGCAGCAACAGCAACAGCAACAGCAGCAACAGCCACAACAACAAGAACAACAACAGCAACTACACCACCACCACTACCACTTCTACCACTACTACCACTACTACCACTACTACCACTACTACCACTACTACCACTACTACCACTACTACTACTACTACGACGACTACTACTACAACTACTACAACTACTACACAGGGCACCGGTCCTCTGCAGAGCAGCGCCTTGGTCGGTGCTTCGGTTGGTTCCAAAGCCTTCCAAAGTTCCCCCATATCTAAGCCTTGCGCCCTAAACCCGAAAGACCCTGTAGACCCCGTATAAACCCAACAAACCCTATCAACCCTATAAACCCCATAAACCCTACAAACCCTACAAACCCTATCAACCCTATCAACCCTACAAACCCTAAGAACCCTTTAAACCCTATCAACCCAATAAACCCCCTAAACCCTCTGAAACTATAAACCCTACAAACCCTAAGAACCGTATAAACCCTATCAACCCAATAAACCCCCTAAACCCTCTGAACCCCAACAGTTCCCGAAGCCCCAGGTGGAATCGGGAACCGAAAAAACCTCCTCCGGCCCTGGTGCCTGGACCGACTGGGCGACGTGCCCCACCGGCCACCCTGCCACGGTTTAGGGTTTAGGGTTTAGGGTTTAGGGTTCAGGGTTTAGGGTTTAGGGTTTAGGGTTCAGGGTTTAGGGTTTAGGGTTCAGGGTTTCGGGTTTAGGCACAATAAGGTCTCTTTTTTCTGGGTATAGGGTTGCGTATAGATGTTGGTCAGTGTGTGCGTGTGTGTATTTATATCTAACTAGATAAGTAAACATGGTGTACTTTTTGGGGAGACTAGTAAGAAAAGCTTTTCTTCACATGCATTATTGGGGGGCTCATGGGTCGAGAATGGAGGGTGCAGGTTTTAGGGGTTCAGGCTTCAGAGTTCAGGGCCTGGGCTTTAGGCTTCAGGGTTTCAGGGTTTCAGGGTTTTTAGGGTTTAGGGTTTAGGGTTTTTTGGGTGTAGGGTTTGGGGTTTAGGATGTAGGGTTTAGGACTTAGGGTTCAGGTTCCGGAGCGCCCGGCGCCCGGCACACTCCCTCATGGCAAGGCTCCTTCAGCAAACAAACCCTGAATCCCAACCCGGGCTTTTGGAGGGCTTTTAGAGTTGTGCGAGGTTGTCTTGTTTTGGGCTTTAGTGTTCGCATTGAGGGGAAACCACTAGATGGAGATTCGATTGGGGGCGGGGGGTCCGTAATTTGTGAAGTGGGTATTTCCCAAACAGGTGTCCCCTTTTGCCACAAACCAATGTCAGATTTATGAAAGGAACCTCCAGGAAAGAAAAGTACCCCTATGTTCGGAGACCCCCAGATAAGGAAGCAGGGGGTTGTAAGGAGAGCGGCCGGTAGGACACGGACTCCTCGAAAGGCCCTTCATAAGCCCAAGCAATCTCTTAGCCTCAACTAGGGGTTCTTGGCCCCTGACACCAAATTTCCTTACGCACCCAATAACTATAATTATAGATAAATACATGTGTATATATAAATGTCTATATATATATATATACGTGTATATACAGATTCAGATATAAACAAGTCGAGGCTTTAAGGCGGTCGGGCTCCGCTACATGGAGCTGATCGGGAGCTTGGTTGATGCTGACGCTTGCTGGCACTAGAACTCAAAGTGGACTCCCCAGCCCTCAACCTTGATCCTTCAGCTTGGGGCACTGGGTTCCCTTGTAAACCCCCCTTAAGGCAGAAAGAAGCGGTTTCCTTAGGGGGTCCGTGTGTATCAACAGTGTACATCCTTGGGCACTAAGTCTTCCCCCCACCCGCGCCTTTAGAGCCGTAAAGTAACTAGTTGACGCACACGGCTTGGTTTTCTTCTGTCTGGCTCTTAGGACTGTAATCTTTCGGTTTTTGAATCATTGAAGCAACTACAGTAAGGAGCGTAAAGATTCAGAAAGCCTCGAGACTTCTTGGGCAAGCTTTTGGGCCTTCCCTGGCCATTCTGTACGGTCTTCGCCATAAACCTTTGTGGTGCTTTACTGTAACTTTAGATCCGTAGCTGTTTGTGGTTTATTGGGTTTCTTAATTAACAAGGCAGCTAAAACAATAATTTATAACTACCCTCCTAAGTGCCGCCAAGAAACCCTCAACTTACATGCACGCCCTCCTGGCCCCTTGGGTACCTCGCACATTCCCCGGCACTTATCAAGAACATTTCAGAAGGCTGAAGCTGTGATTCTATAACCCTTAGCATGAAGTTTAGGGTTTAGGGTTTAATTAAGGTTTAGGGTTTAGGGTTTCGGGAATCAAACTACATGTTCCCAGAAAAGCTGTATTTCTCTTGTACCCTAAGGCTCTTGGGCCCTCAGACCCTTAGGAATTGCGACCGCAGAGCCATTCTTTTTAGGAGGTGCCAGTCCCTCTGTAGGAGGGTTCTTGGATCCCTAGTCTAGTCAAACCCCAAACCCCAAACCCTAAACCCCAAACCCTAAACCCCAAACCCTAAACCCTAAACCCTAAACCCCCCCAATTGCAATTGAGAACATGGTATGCAGAATAAGGCTAGCTTCCTCCTTGACGTGGTGGCCAATCTTCGGTTATGAGTAGGAACCTCTCCTAGGTGCCCTTTGGGACTTTGTATCGGGGCCTGAAGAATTAGAATAGGGTTTCGGTGGCTATCCTACTTTCAACATATAGCGACCACGAAGGAAAACCACCAAAAACAGTTTTCCGACGCCCCCCTAAACCCTAAACCCTAAACCCTAAACCCTAAACCCTAAACCCTAAACCCTAAACCCTAAACCCTAAACCCTAAACCCTAAACCCTAAACCCTAAACCCTAAACCCTAAACCCTATAAACCCTAAACCCTAAACCCCAGCCGATGCCCGAGCCTAGCAAGGACGTGACCAGCCTGAGCGGCCTGGAGTGCGGCGACGATGGATGATTCTCGGATAGCATCTCTGGGGGCCCTAATATCTGGTTTAGAGTTTAGGGTTTAGGGTTTAGGGTTTAGGGTTCAGCTGTACTTAAAATCGTATTGGGGCACTTAAGGGGCTTATAAGTGGGTTATAAGTACAGTTATAATTGGTTACGAAGTACCATGAACCTCCAAGTGGAGTCCTCAACCTTGAGATCTGAACCGTCTTTAGGGCTTTTAGGGTTTAGGGTTTTTGGTTTGGGGTTTAGGGTCTGGGGTGTGGGGTTTAGGGTTTAAAGGGTTTCGGGCTTATAGGGTTTTCGGGCTTATCTGTTTTTGGGGCTTATTGGGTTTTTGGTGCTTATAGGATTTAGGGGCTACCTAAAGGCTCCTACGTAGTTACCTCTTGTTGTAGTATCCTGGAGTTCTCTATAACAAACCCCAGAAAGGAACTGCATTAGAGCCCTCCTAAACCCTAAACCCTAAACCCTAAACCCAAAACCCTAAGCCCTAAACCCTAAACCCTGAACCCTGAACCCTAAACCCTAAACCCTAAACTAACCCTAAACCCTAAGCCGCCAACGCGCTGGGACCTCCCGAGCTCACAGATGCACAATGCCGGTTCAACTGCTTCTCCAAGACTCCCAGAACCTGCCTGCTGGGTTAGCTCTGGGTATCTGTTAAAGTTTCAATATGTAGCAATATAGTATGATAGACATGTCAGAAAAATACAATACGATCAAAATCATATGAGCGGTGACCAAAACCATCGTTTTTCGACAAGAGAGCGGCTTTCAGAAACAAGGTTTGGCGTAAGCACAGAGTTGTGTTCCGTGGGGTAGCGGAAGCAATTCTTGAGCAACGTTGTTGCCATAAGCAGCGTAAGCTGTTGTTGGTAGTGTTGTTGTTTTATGTCCCAAGCGAACCATTCCTTTCAGTTGCAGCTGCTGCAGCAGCAGCTGCTATGAAAACTGCTATCATCACAACCAGGTTTTCAGTTTCCGTGAAATTCCGGGTTCTGGGTCGTGACTTAGCGTAAGCACGGCGTAGGCGTGGCGGAAGCGTGGCGTCAGGCCTCCTAATGAAATCCAGTCGGTTGCTCATCGTAGGTCGTGGCTCTCCTTTTCCGGGAGGCATGTATGGGTTCTGCATGGTCCGTCACTTTTTCTCCGTTCAAATTGCATGGTGTGTGAAAAGATGATGGAGGGGTTAGCCGGCGTAAGCAGCGTAAGCAGAAGCAACAGCAAAGCCATGGCGCAAGCGAAGCTTGGAAAGCGCAAGCTGGCGTAAGCATTGTTTCGAAGTCAAATGCGCATTAACAACTTGGTAACATAGTGGCGTAATATCAGAATACAAGCTACAGAATGACACAATAGCATAATAACATAGCATCATAATCGCATAATATCATAATGACATAATAGCGCAAAAAACACAAATATCATTATTTTATACGAATTTCAGTTTGTATAATTAGAGAATATATTGACATACTAAGGCCAATGGTTGAGTAATACATTAATTTTCTAATACAGCAATATAAGATTATACTTATGTATTGATACAATAATATAGGAATTTAACAATACCTTTAATTATTTGTAATGTACTAATATAATAGTCTAATGACTTAATGTAGTTTTCATAAGATAGCAACATAATATCATAACATACGAGCATGATAATGTAATAATACATCAAGGTAAGTATATCTTAATGCAATAATTACATCAATATGATGATAACAAGGAAATAGCATAGTACAATAGTATACGAGACCACAACAGGGGCTCTTGGAGGAGGGACACTGGCCCTACACCTGACACCTGAAAAGCCCTGAGCACCCTTCCAACCAAAAGATCGGGCAACAAATGGGAAACCACGCCTAACCCCCCCCCCCAAAAAAAAAAAAAAAAAAGAAGAATAACATACATAAACACAATATATATATATATATACACATGTTATAAGGTCCGTGTTTAATGACTTTTTATGGCTTTTGGGCTTGCTTTTTTTCTACATGCTTGGAAAGCCCCGGTAAGCCCGAAACCCTAAACCCTAAACCCTAAACCCTAAACCCTAAACCCCGAACACTAAACCCTAAACCCTAAACCCTGAACACTAAACCCTAAACCCTAAACCCTGAGCCTTCCGAAGCGCCGAGGCAGAGCCAAGAGCCCGCGCACGAGGGTGAAGATTCGCCCGGCCTGCATGCGCCATACGAGCTCCTGGGCTCAGGGCTTAGGGTTTAGGGTTTAGGGTTTAGGGTTTAGGGTTTAGGGTTTAGGGCTTACCCCATGCCGGGACCTTCTCGGCTGAAAACGTGCCTTTGCAGTAGCCTGTTTGGGGGTGGACGAACATCTTCTGTGAAACACGAGTGCTATGTACTGTTCTTGGTTTGTGTTTATAGGGTTCCCTACAGATTTCGGTGAGTATATAAATTTGGGTGGCCTTTTTTGGAGATGCTGGGAATACAAACCCTACTTCATACAGGCGGAGGGGCTTGCCAAAACCCTCAAGGCCCTAAACCCTAATCCCTAATCCCAAACCCCCAACCCTAAACCCTAATCATCCCTAAACACCTTGACCCGAATCCCTACCTAATAGTTCCTATGTAGTACCATTTTGGGCAGCTTCCTAGAATTCCCTATCACTAACCCAAAAGGAACTACAAACCCACACCCTTAGAAGCACGCAAGAGCCCATTTATACGATTCGGCAAAGCTCGGGGGTTGCCCAGCGCCGCGGTTTGTCGGCGAAATCGCAAAGTTGTTTGAGAGTAGGGTTTAGGGTTTAGGGTTTTGGGGTTTTTAGGGCTTTTAGGGTTTTTGAGGGTTCAGGGTTTAGGGCCTTTGTGTCCCAGGCGAAGTCCCTAAACCCTGCACCTTTGAAGGCGCGCGATTGGTCCCCGATCTCCTGTGGCTCTTAATTTTGGCCTTGCATTTTACCGGGATCCTCGCCTTAAACCCTTCTTAGCCCCTAAACCCGAAACCTTAAAACCTAAACCCAAAACCCTAGCCCTAAACCCTAAACCCTAAACCCTAAACCCTAAACCCTAAACCCTAAACCCTAAACCCTAAACCCTAAACCCTAAACCCTAAACCTAAACCATAAACCCTAAACCCTAAACCCTAAACCCTAAACCCTAAACCCTAAACCCTTAACCCTAAACCCTACACCCTCAGCTTGGCCATATGCAAGCTCCTTGGCGTTGGCACTTTTGGCAACATCGCGGGCTGAACTGCAGATAGCCATGAGCAGGTGACAATGTTTAGGGTTTAGGGTTTAGGGTCTGGGATTTAGGGTTTAAGGTTTAGGGTCACCGAGTTGACTTTTCGGTGCCATCCCTTTGAAGCAAAAGATGACAGCGCAAACTTGTCCAGGGTGTAGGGCTCAGGTTTGGGGGGGGGGGGGGGGGGCCCTTCTACTGGGTTTGGGAGTACTACGCTTCAATACTTTTCGTTGGTTCTGGGTTTCTATTTTATAGCTACCCTAGACCCTAAATCCGAAACCCTAAACCCTAAACCCTTCTACCAAAAAAGTATATACATTTTTCCAGGGTCTACTCCAAAGTAGAGTATTTCCTGGGTGGCTTACTGTGATACCCCCCCGCTGCTACAAGCCGACGAGCCCTCTTCCTACGATTGTAGGCTTTAGGGCTTAGGGTTCAGGGTTTATGCCTACTGTTGCAGGGTTTAGGGCTTAGGGGTTAGGGTTTATGCCTACTGTTGTAGGGTTTAGGGTTTAGGGCTTAGGGTTTAGGGTTTATTCCTACTATTGTAGTAGGGTTTAGGGTTTAGGGCTTAGGGCACTAGTGCTTAGGGTTTAGGGTTTAGGGCTTAGGGCTTAGGGCTTAGGGCTTAGGGCTTAGGGTCAGGGGTCCCTATATTACCCGTATAATGAAGAATATGTTTGTTTTTTTTTTTTGGGGGGGGGGTTTCTTAAGCAACTCGTAGATTCAGCACCCACATTGCGACCAGCACCGAGGCATGGCCTTCGGCACGAAGACGGAGCGGGCTGATACAGGGGGTCGGAAGAACTACTAATGGTTCTGGGTTTAGGGTTTAGGGTTTGGGGTTTGGGGTTTAGGGTTTGGGGTTTAGGGTGGTTTCCCTTATGGCCCCTTAATGACTATACCATAGTAGCCCCCCAAAACCCTATTCCAATTATTCAGGCCCCTCTATGACCACACAAGATTTGGGTACATGGGTGTCTTTGGGAGCGGTCACCCTCAACCCATCCTCAACCCTAAGCTCTCGACTCTACAAACCCTCGGGGTTTCCAGCATACTACCACAAATAGGTACGACATCGGAGCTTTTAGGTAGGGTTTAGGGTTTGGGGCTTGAGGCGAGTGGATTTAGGGATTAGGGTCTGGCAGTAGGGCGTGGTCGTTTACAAGACCACAGGGTTTAGGGTGTAGGGTATATAGGATTTAGGGTCTAGGGTTTAGGGTTTAGGGTTTAGGATTTAGGGTGTACGGTAACTTGGATTGCCGATGACTCCTATGATGATTGGGGCTGGCTGGGGAGTTCCCCCCCATCCCACAAGCCTTGTCTGGCCTAGATTTCCCAGAGGCCCCCTTTGCCGACGTCACCTTGAACCTGCTTCAGTCCTTAAAATGAAGGTTCATGGGTAGTGATAAGTAAGGTTATACATAAGGCAGCTATAGTTACAACTGGTTATAAACTTATTCACGGTACTTATAACTTATACCCCCTACTTATAACTATCCCGTGAACCTTCAAGGAAACAACCATCCCCAGCCCGAAGCCCGAAGCCCGAAACCCCGAAGCTCTCTAGCCCCTCCCCTACTTAACCCCCAAAGCCCCCCAAGCCCTAAACCCTAAGCCCTAAACCCTAGTCCCTAAACCCTAAACCTTAAACCCTAAACCCAAAACCCTAAACCCTAAACCCTAAACCCTAAACCCTACCCAAGATTCGGCGTTCCAGAGGAGAAGACTGGCACTGGCTGGTCGCCTGTGTCCGGCTGCCCTTCTGGCTACAACCCCATGGGCGTGGCAAAGGACTCGGATTTCGGGTTTAGGGTTTCGGGTTTAGTTAGGGTTTTAGGGTTTTAGGGTTTTAGGGTTTAGGTCAGTCTCCTTTGCCCACACACCAAAAAGGTTCAAGAGTTCAAGACGCGGGGTTCATGTTTTCCGTTTGGGACTGTCATTGTGTTTAGCAGCCAGGACAACGTGCTACAAACTTGGCACACGTGACACAGGTAACGGGTAGGCAAGTCAGTGGAAGGTGAATTTCGAGCGAAGCCAAACAGATTCAGCTTGCGCGCATAGGGTTTAGGCCCTATCTCACGGGTCCACGTCTCGTATTATTATGGAAGGCGGCACCCCCCCCCAAAAAAAAAAAACAAACAAACCTATGTTTGCTGTGTTCCTAAGTGCATATCAGTACGCACAAGGGGAACCTCTGCGCATTCGGGAATCGACTCTAAGGTTTCTAAGGTTCCGTGGGGCACTCGATCTGGTCCCTGATACCTCCCATGAAGGTTTCTGAAGCATGTGCTCTTGGGTTGTATAGAGTATACAATAGAGGGCTCCAATGTAGTTCCTCTTTGGGTGAGAGATAATTAGGGGATTCGAGTTTCCGAACCCCAAAAAAGTACTACAAGGGAGCCTTTAGGTAAACCCTAAATCCGAAGGGTGCTGGGGTGCGAAAGCCACACTGGGACCCTCTGTGGGAACGGCTGCATATGAAATCCCAAACTGTGAGACGTCAAAATGGTGTTCAATCGTCCTGCCCACTATCTGGAGCTTTGTGTTTAATGTTTCCAAGGGGGGAAACGCCACTATAAGCCTTACCCTCCCCCCCCCCCCCCAAAAAAAAAAAAAAAAAAAAAAAACAACAATCAGCGTAAATGCTAAACCCCAACCCCCAATCTCGGGGGGTGGCTGTCGGGACCTCTGTGAGAAAATAAGAGTGTGATTCTAGGGTTCAGGGTTTCGAGTGTAGGGTTTAGGGTTTAGGGTTTAGGGTTTAGGGTCTAGGGTCTAGGGTTTAGGGTTTAAATTTAGGGTTTAGGGTCTAGGGTTTAGGGTTTAGGGTTTAGGGTTTAGGGTTCAGGGTTTAGGGTTTAGGGTTTAGGGTTTAGGGTTTAGGGTTTAGGGCAGAAAAACTCCAACATCAGAGTCCCGAAAATCTCTGACGCTGCACTGTTTGCGGCCATCGACCCTTGGGTGCCAAAGCGGGCGATGGCTACCTAGGTAGGCCCTGCGGCTAGGATGCCCAGTAGTACCCTCATTCCCTTTTTTTTTTGGGGGGGGGGGGGGGGGTTTAGGTTCCCTTATAAACCCCTTTAAGCAAAAAAGGGCACCCTTTTTTATCCTAGGTTACTGAGCAGCCTAGATATTCTAGATTTTCCCTTATTGGGTTTAAGAGGTAATATTTAGGAATCTTTTTTCAGAGGGTTTTGAGGGCCACCTTAGTCTGTTCGTTACATGTAGATAGAGTTTACCGGCTCTAGCGTAGTCCCTTCTTGGGTTACTTCTATAGGGGCTTCTAGTAGACTACGTACCCCAAAAAGGTACTACATAGCAGCCCTGATGTAGGCCTAAGGCTATTTGTATGGTACTTTTTAGGTTCAAGGTTCCCTTACAAAGTAACCAACCCCAAAAAGGGTACCCATATTGCAACATGGTTCCTGGGCTACCAAGATATAGAGAGAGAAGAAGATAGCATTATACAAAGACCCCAAACCCTAAACCCTGAACCCTAAACCCCAAACCCGAAGAACCAAACACAGCATTTACAAGTGCTACAGTGCCTGGCTGAAATGTCTGGTGCATTCGGGGCTTGAACCTCAAATCTCCAACAACATCCCAACCACGGGGCCCCAAAACCCTAGGGTTTAGGGTTTAGTGTTTAAGTTTAGGGTTTAAGGTTCATTTCGGCACAGGCCTACATGCATGGTAACTGGGACACAATGCGGATCTGGGAAGCCTGGACTCAACGGTGCCGGGTGCTCTTCTCCAGGGGTCCGTACGTACTACGAATCTGGAATCAGATGCCCCAAAAACCCGAGTAATGGTATATGATGGTGCGTTTTCTTGGTACCTTCCATCCGTCTCAGTACGAGGTGTCAAAGTAGATTGGTTTAGGGTTTAGGGTGTAGGGTTTAGGGTTTAGGGTTTAGGGTTTAGGGTTTAGGGTTTAGGGTTTAAAGCCTAAAGCGCTTGACTATTCAAATCGATCTTCGGCGAGCTGTAGAGCTGCTTGGGGGGGTGGTTGGGTCCGTGCCAGACTCGGGCTTAGCGTTGAGGGGTTAGGAGTTTAGGGGTTTAGGGGTTTAGGGGTTTAGCGGTTTAGGGGTTTAGGGGTTTAGGGGTTTACGGGTTTAGGGGTTTAGGGGTTTAGGGGTTTAGGGGTTTAGGGTTTAGGGGTTTAGGGTTTAGGGTTCCGGGCTCAGGGAGTCTCAGGCAGTGAAAACAGAAATTTCAGGGGTACGTTTTAGACTCGTTACCGCATACTTGCAGCACCACTACCTGAAGGCTCTGGTGTACCGCCTCGTTGGGGTTACTTCTAGGGGGGGGTCCTAGTATACCACACCAAAAAGGTGCTTCATTGGAGTCCTTCGGTAGCACTCCTCCTTGCGCGGTCCTTCAAGGAATGCGACACGTCTGGCTGCAAGATCTACTGCGTGGGCACCCAAAAGTGCGAGATCGTGACCGTCTCTCGGCCCACGTATTTGCTTTCATCCGTGTTTTTTCTAGGCTTCGGGGTTTACCTGAAGGCTTCAATGTAGTTCCTATTTGGGCTAGTTATAGGGAAACCCTAAACCCTAAACCCTAAACCCTAAACCCTAATCCCAAAAAAGCTAGTACATAGGAGCCCTGAGGGAGTGGGCCGAACAAAGCGGCATGACCCCCTTGTCGCGACATCCTGTTTAGGGCTCCTTGGGGACGAAATGAGCCCGAAAGGTGGGGGTCATATACCCTGACTACGATAATTCCTAGTAAGGTATATGAACCCTACACTCTTTCAGGCTTCATGTAGTCCCCAAGGTTGAGGGAGGGCTTAGGCTTAGGGTTTAGGGTTTTGGGTTTCATGTTGCAGTTGGTGGGCAGAAACCAATAGCAACCGCATGTCCTTTAGGGTTTTTTATGGTTTGGGGTTTAGGGTTTTGGGGTTTAGGGTTTAGGGAACCTCACTATTCGGCACATAGTAACCCGCTCGTTCCGGCCACTGTGATTGTTGTCTGCTTTGTGAGTTGGTCTTGGCCATGGACGTTCGGGTTTACCTCAGCCCCAGGCCCTAGACCCCAAACAGCGCACCCCAAACCCCGAAACCTACTGCATACCCACATGCTCCTATGTAGTTGCTTTTTGGGTTGTAGGGGGTTCTGGTAGAATTTCTCCAAAAAGTTACTACATAGGAGCCTTTAAGTATATGGAGCACATAGAGCTTTAGCATTTGCAGGGGGTTCGGACCCCAACGGGCTGAAAGTCCTCCTCCCCTGCAAAGCCGCCCGAAAGCCCCAACCAAAAACCCCGAAGCAAAAAATCACGGGATTTAGGGTGTAGGTGGGATGTTCCCCCTTTTCCTAGCAGTCCTTCATTAATTGGGGGGTACTCGAATCCTTATGCAGGACTGTTCGTATAAGGGGGCATATCACAATGTGTAGGTCCCGAGTCTCTAATGTTGTCCCTTTCTGGGTTAGTTCTAGGGACTTCTAGTATACTACCCCCAAACGCTCAACCCTAAACCCCAAAAAGGTACTACGTAAGAGCCTTTCGGTTGACCGAAACCAGTGCAGGCCTGCATCTCCGCAAAGACCACCGTAAGATTGGATTGCTCAACCGATCACCGAAACTTGCGCCTCGTCTGGACGTGTAGGGCTCAGGGTTCAGGGTTTAGGGTTTAGGGTTTAGGGTCTAGGGTTTAGGGTTTAGGGTTTAGGGTTTAGGGTTTAGGGCACATGAGGGCTTCGGGCTGCAGGGGTTTCAAGGGCTTTAGGCCTTTTAATGTTTACGTGAAGGCTCGAATCTAGTCCCTTCGTTTGGGGCTCGGGGACTCTAGTATACTACCCCCAAATTGGGTTTAGGGTTTAGGGTTTAGGGTTAGGGTTTAGGGTTTAGGGTTTAGGGTTTAGGGTTTAGGGTTTAGGGTTTAGGGTTTAGGGTTTAGGGTTTAGGGTTTAGGGTTTAGGGTTTAGGGTTTCAAAAGGTACCACATAGGAACCTTTAGAGAGTTCTCAGGGCTTTAGGGTTCTTAGGGCTTTCGAGAATTCGGGCTTGTGGGTTCACAGACGAAGGGCGTACACCATAATCCCGAACCCCATCATCGTCATCCTCCAACCCTGCCTGGGTTTAGGGTTTAGGGTTTAGGGTTTAGGGTTTAGGGTTTAGGGTTTAGGGTTTAGGGTTTAGGGATTAGGATATAGGGATCAGGGTTCAGGATCTAGGGTTTAACGGTTAGGGATAACCTGTGTTCCCGAAAACAAAGCGAAGTGCACGTGAATTGTGGGTATATTGTCCGCGTATGTCAGTGCAGAAGTTCAAGGACTAAGACTTGGCCCTTTAAACCCTAAACCCTAAACCCCAAACCCTAAACTCCAAACCCTAAACCCTAAGCCCTAAACCCTAAACCCTATACCGTAAACCCTAAACCCTAAACCCTAAACCCTAAACCCTAAACCCTAAACCCTAAACCCTAAACCCTAAACCTTACTTGAGGATTTAAGGTTCGTTCCCTTAGAAGCCCCTTTGAACCACAAAGGGCAGCCTGTTTATTCCTAGGGGGCTGCCCGAATGACACACTCTGCAGAGACCTTGTTGCTGACTGCTTAGTGGATGCAGGTGTAGTCCACAGCAACTCGGAAACTCCCAACAAACCCTTCACTCTCAACCCTATAAACCCATAAACCCTAAAGCCTTATTGGCGGTCGAGTGTGGGATGCTCATGCAGGGAGTGGTCTGAAAAGATAAGGAGGTCGCCGGTTTAAGGGCTTAGAGGTTGTAGGGTTTAGGGTTTAGGCGAAGAGGGTTCTCGGCTTCCGCGACTGAACCGCGTTGCTGAGACAGGACCCCCCCACAAGCCCCAATTATCATAGGAGTCATCGGCAATCCAACCCTAAACCAAAAACCCTAAACCCTAAACCCTAAACCCTAAACCCTAAACCCTATGTCGTTTTTACTTAGTGGTCCTGTACATCCCGTTGCCCAACTGCCTGACCCTAATCCCTGAATCCACTCGCCTCAAAGCCCAAACCCCACCGCCTGCTAAAGGAGCTTACGTAGTCCCTTTTTGGGGGTAGTATACCCAGTAGTGCCCTTATTCCCTTTTTGGTAGGTTTAGGTTCCCTTATAAACCCCTTTAAGCAAAAAAGGGCACCCTTTTTAATCCCAGGCTACTGGGCAACCCAGGGGGGTAGTATACTAGAATCCCCTATAACTATCCCAAAACAAGGAACTACATTAGAGCCTTGGGGTAGGCCTACAGCATGGGATGTTTACGAGTTCTAGAATACTACCCCCTAAAAGGTACTGTAAATTGGAGCCTCTAGGTCAACCTTCTAAACCCTAAACCCTAAACCCTAAACCCCTAAACCCTAGACCCTAAACCCTAAGCCAGGATCGTCAGAACATCAACTGGCACGGGGACGCGAACACCTTCGAGCTGTCCCTCCACTCACCACAGCCGTTGTGCTGCATGTCAGACGTAGGGTCTTCTATTCCTGTTCTTGGTGAGTGTGTATGTGTATATCTCCATGTATATATATATATATGTATTTAGTTGTTTATTTTTTATTGTTATATTAAGAACATCACATTTATACTTATATCTCCTCAACGAAAGCCGCCCCTCTGGTGGGTAGGACTTCTTAAGCAAGGTTTCTGCGTTTGGGGTTTATAGGGTTCAGGGCAAGATGGTTCCACAACAAGCAGTGCCATATCCTGCTGTCGAGGATCCTGCTGCCCATACAAGGTAGGCACCGTTTCATCTTAGGGTTTAGGGTTTAGGGTTTATGCAAAAGATTCGAGAGGAGTGAAGGCTCTATTGTAGGTTTTTTTGGGTTACTGACAGGGAGTTTCTAGTATACCACCCCAAAAAGGAACTGCAAAGGAGCCTTTAGGTTGGGTTCGGCCGGTCCACACTAACAGTCACCACCAGCAGACCCACAAATAAAAGCACCCGGTAAATGCCAAAAAATTGACTGAGATTCCTGCTATTCCTGGTGCTATTCCTGGTGCTATTTCTGGTGCATTTTTTTGTGCTATTCCTGGTGCTATTTCTGGTGCTATTTTTTGTGCCATTGTTTGTGCTAGTTCTGGTGCTATTTTGTGTGCTATTGTTTGTAATATTTCTGGTGCTATTTCTGGTGCTGTTGCTGGTGCTATGTGACTAACAATCACCATCAGCAGACCCACAAAACACAGCACCCGGTAAATGCTAAGCTGCTAAAATTGACTGGGATTCCTGGTGCTATTTCTGGTGCTATTGTTTGTGCTATTTCTGGTGCCATTTTTTGTGCTATTCCTGGCGCTATTTCTGGTGCTATTTTTTGTGCTATTGTTTGTGCTATTTCTGGTGCTATTTCTGCTGCTATGTGACTAACAGCCACCACCAGCAGACCCACAAAAAGAAGCACCCGGTAAATGCTAAAATTGACTGGGATTCCTGGTGCTATTTTTGGCCTGTGTGTTATAAGGCCACGGCGTTATTTGACTGTTAGTGTGGACCGGCCGAACCCAACCTTTAGGTATTCGCTTTTAGGAGGTCTAGAGTCTAGCTAAAGGGCCATCATAAAGCACATGATCTCCGCTCAACAGAAAGTCCTGCATGTGTTACCACCGGGCCCAGTTTAAATGCCCTGCAGGCCCCCAAAACTCTTCAGAAGAGGACGCTGTGGGAACCTGTTCTGAGAACCTATTCTTGGGACGGGTTCCGACATGGTTACTGGGACGTAAACCCAGAGACGATATAGGATTCTGGATTGGGTGTCCCCCCGCACAAACTAGCAGTCCTTAGTAGGGATTATCGTCCCCCGCCCTTGTGAAAATGCCTATCAAGGACTGTTAGCATAGAGGGGGGGAACATCCCAAGCCCGAAGCCCTAAACCCTAAAGCCATATTAAATAAACCCTAAACCCTAAGCAGCCTAAACCATAAACCCTAAACCCTAAGCCCCCAAGACAAGGGTTGAACCCATGGGAGTATGCGTCTCCCAGCTTAGAGAACCCTCCCAGCAGACCATCCGCCCCTTTTTTTTGGAGGGGGGCGAGGCACTTCAAGGCTTCCCTAATCCCAAAACCCTAAACCCCAAACCCTAAACCCTAAACCCCAAACCCTAAACCCTAAACCCTAAACCCTAAACATGCCTAAACCCTATTTCCACCTCCAAGGTGCCCGGTGCCTGTGCTATTCTGCCACGCAGGGCAAGTGCAGCCCCAGCCGGCGCCGATACGTTGGTCAAAGTCGCACGCCCTGGGATGTCAGAATTTGGGGAGACTATGTGAAGGGTTTAGGGTTTAGGGTTTAGGGTTTAGGGTTTAGGGTTCAGGGTACCTGAAGGATCTAATGTAGTTCCTTTTGGGGCTAGTATACTACCCCAAACAAGTGCTACATAGGAGCTTTTAGGTACGTTGATAATGGTCTTTTGCGGTTCGCAGTTGAGCTTGCGAAGGGTGTAAGGATTGAGGCCAGAAGCCACAGCAACAGGATAGTGCAAGAACCACAGCACGCTGAACACATCCAAAACTCTGAAGTCTGAACTCGACAGTGTCAGCACAAGATCTTCTGTCAAGGTTCCCCCCCCTCCCCTCCCCCCCCTCCCCCCCCCCCCCCTCCCCCCCCTCCCCCCCCTCCCCCCCCTCCCCCCCCTTGTGAAAAAAAGCCTGGATCTTACCCAAGGAAGCCGGAGTAGCAGCCAGGCTTAGCCAGTGGTACAAGTAAACGGCCAGGTTTTCGGTTCTGCACAAATTTTAAGGTTTAGGGTTTAGGGTTTAGGGTTCTTGCTTGTGTGGTTTTTCTAAGTGGGCTCCAGGTATCGGATTGCGCAGCGCAATAGCAGGAGGGATTTTGAAACATGAGGGTCAAGAAGAACCTGTGCAGTCGACCGTCGCTACATCATCTAGATCCCCGGAAGGCCTGTTACCCTACACTTGTCTAACGCCTAAACCCTAGATCCTTCACCCTAAAAGGGCCTACGTGAAAAAGCAGCTCAGGTGGCTGCTCGGTGAACTTCGGAACGTCGTCAGGCTGGGTCGTTAAGTGGGTCAAGAATTGCCACCCCGGAGAAGCAGGAGTCCAACCTACACGAAGCGCTGAACCCTAAGCCCATAGATAGGGTTTTGGGTTGGGGTTTAGGGTTTAGGGTTTAGGATTTAGGGTTTAGGGTTTCAGGGTTCAGGGTTCAGGGTTCAGGGTTCAGGGTTCAGGGTTCAGGGTTCAGGGTTCAGGGTTTAGGGTTTAGGGTTTAGGGTTTAGCGCACCTACACGACTTGGTAGTTTAGTGGTACCCTTTTCACTTTTTGTGCAAGGTTTGCTTATAAAGTAGACAACCCCAAAAAGGGTGCCCTTATTATTACTAGGAGCCCCCTTTTCAGACTACAAGGGGCACCCTTTTGATTCCTAGGTTGCTCCTGGGGCTAGTAATCAGCAAGATCAGCACATCATCCGCACATCACTCACTCCCCGAGGCACCCTTATAGCTTTTGAGAGTGACCTCCAAACACCCTTGGAAGAAAATCAGAGGGAAACGGGCCTTCTTTGTGTTAGGAAACCCTAAACCCTAAACCCTAAACCCTAAACCCTAAACCCTAAACCCTAAACCCTAAACCCTAAACCCTTCTTGTTTTTTCGCAGCTGCACCCTCAGTAGACCCTACTTGGAACCCTGAGTCCCTTAAATTCTCCAGTCCCACATAGAACAGGTTAGGGTTTTGGGTTTTGGGTGTTGGGTTTTGGTTTTTTTGGGTTTTGGGTTTTGGGTTGCACATTAACAATGTTGTTGTGTTTGGGTTTTGTTTGGGGTCAACTGTGCATTAGCAAGTCCGTTGTTTTTTTTTGTGTGGTTCAAAGCCCTTGCATCGTCATAATTGTCATCGTTGTTGTGCGCAGAAAAACACCTCCATACCCTCGGCATCCTAGTAGATGTTTGTCATGTTGTAGATGTCATGTCACTACATTTGCAAGATGAGAAGGGTCGGCTTTAACATCATTACCAGGGGCGTCACACGATGAGCGGTGACTTTAAGCCTGGTAGAGGCCTGTGCTGCACAGTGTGCTTCTAAACATCACCAGCCATGTTCTTATTGCCTCCATGCTGGTTCAGGAGAAGATGATATGGTGACCTGCTGGTATCACATGATGGGCGGGTTGGTTTTATCACTATATCACCGGCATCGCATGCGCAGGGGTGGTTTATAGCACAATATTCACCGGTTTTGCGTGATGAGAGGGGTGGGTTTCAACGTAGACATCACCGGCACCACGTTGAGGAGGTGTGGAGTCTTAAGCCAAAAGCATGGAAACCTGTTTTGTTTCTAGCCGCTTGCTGCTTCCATGCTGTCACATGACGACGGGGCGGGGCATCAGATTAGAGCCTTCACGTCCCGTGTTTACAACAGAGGGGCTTCTTCCTTAGGCTCACCAAGGCACCCTGAACCCTTCACCCTAGATAACCCTAGATCCTAAACCCTAAGCCCTAAACCCTAATCTTAATCGGCGAATCCGCGCAGGTCGCGTGACGAGACTCTGCACACAAGGGACGGGCTCGATTCGCACCTACCTGGGGAGCCAGGCCGCAGAGAACACCGTGGGCTTTTGAGGGTTTTGTTAGGGTTTGGGGTTTAGGGTTTAGGGTTTAGGCTTTCGGGTTTAGGGTTTAGGGTTTAGGGCGCATTTCCGGGCTCTCAAGCGGCGCGCGCCCATCCCAAGTCCCGACACTTTACGAATTTTGTGCGGAGTTGGTCCACAGTTTCGGGTTTGGGAGTGTTGACCTGAGGGCTCTAATGTAATTAAAGGGTTTATAGGGTTTGTAGGGTTTATAGAGTTTACAGGGTTTACAGGATTTATAGGGTCTTGGGTGTACCTGAAGGCTCTCATGTAGCTCCTTTTTGGGTTAGCTTGGTATTCCAGTGGTGCCCTTTACCCTTTGTTTTTGGTTCTGGTTTCCCCTATCAAGTAGCCAACCAAAAAAAGGGTGCCCTTGTTACAATATGGTTCCTGGGCTACAAAGGGTTAGCTACAGGGGTTCCAGTATACAACTCCTATAAGGTACTACGGAGGAGCCCTTGGGTCGGGTTTAGGGTTTAGGGTTTAGGGTTTGGGGTTGGGTTTAGGGTTTGGGGTTTGGGGTTTGGGGTTTGGGGTTTGGGGTTTGGGGTTTGGGGTTTTGGGTTTGGGGTTTGGGGTTTAGGGTTTAGGGTTTAGGGTTTAGGATCCCAAAACCCAAGGGCACAACCTTAGAGGTCCCAAGGAAAAAGCCCCTAGAGAAGAGCAACCTTGCGGCGAGGAAGCCTGAAGCAGCACCTGCCGAAACCCTTCGCCTGAAGCCAGAGGGTTTTCCTTGAAATTCGGGTTTAGGGTTTAGGGTTTAGGGTTTAGGGTTTAGGGTTTACGGCTCAGGGTTCAGGATGTCACTCTTGCGAAGATTTTAGCATGTACACTTTGATTCTACTGTGGAACATGGGAAATTTCTGGAGTCTAGACCCGAAGGCCCTAAACCCGAAACTCTCCCAAGTAAGCCTAAACCCTAAACCCTAAACCCTAAACCCTAAACCCTAAACCCTAAACCCTAAACCCTAAACCCTAAACCCTAAACCCTAAATGGCTGGGCTAAAGACTTCTCCCTAAACCCTAACCCTAAACCCTAAAACTGCCTGGCGAGGCCTCCCACATCTATGAGGATTTGACGGCCGCGTATCTTGGTAGCCCGTAGGTACCCTTTTGCCCTTCTTTTGGTTTAGAGTTTAGGGTCTGGGGTTTAGGGTTTAGGGTTTAGGGGTGTTAAGTTGTAAGGTTACGGTCACGGTTTGGTCGTACCCTGTTACCCTGATTGGGTTCTAGGTAGTTCCCTTTCACAAGGAACCTGGAAGCATGGTAGCTGGGCAGGGGTTTAGGGTTTAGGGCTTAGGGCTTAGGGCTTAGGGTTTAGGGTTTAGGGTTTAGGCTGCTACCAAGGCCTGTTACAAAGTCGCACAGCTTCACCGCTCAGGGGTCAGGCACCACCGTGGGGGGTTCGGGGTTTATAAGGCGTGGGGGAAAGGGCTGTGCCTAGACTCGCGTATGCAACTTACAAAGCTAGGTCCATTACTCTATAGCCCTAAGCCCGAAACTCTAAACCCGAAACCCTAAACCCTCCTAAAACAGGGTAACTTCCTTTCAAAGCCTAGGCCCTAAACCCACTAGGCTGCCTCTACTTGGAGGTTCATGGGCAGGTATGTTTAGGGTTCAGGGTTCAGGGTTCAGGGTTTAGGGTTTAGGCTTTAGGGTTTAGGGTTTATAGGCTGCAGGGTTTAGGGTTCAGGGGCTTAGGGCTTAGGGTTTAGGGTTCTAATTAGTAAGGTATCTGTATTTATAACTGGTCCTAAACCTTATGTAGCGTACCGATAACCCTACTTCTAACTACCCATGAACCTTCAATTTGGTGGGTTTCAGGAGTTCAGGGATTGGCCTGGTGGGATGAGCCTTTGAGGTTCATATTTTCATGACAAGCCCTAAACCCTAAACCCTAAACCCTAAACCCTAAACCCTAAACCCTAAACCCTAAACCCTTGAGGGCTTCGGGTCCGCACCCTGTCTGAGGGTCGTTACATGGTCCCTTAAGTATGGGCCCATATACCCTGCCAAACCCAAGGGCTCCTGCTTCAGGGTTTAGGGTTTAGGGTTTAGGGTTTAGGGTTTAGGGTTTAGGGTTTAGGGTTTAGGGTTTAGGGTTTAGGGTTTAGGGTTTAGGGAAGGTTAAGGGACCATATTGAGGCATCGACCATGTAACCCCCTTAGCCCGAACGCCGAAACCCCAAACCCGAAACCATGCAACTTTCCTTGCCAAAAGGCTTGAATGTAGTTCCTTTTGGGTTAGAAATATGGGGTTCTAGTATACTACCCCAAAAAAGTACCCTAAGCCCTAAACCTTAAACCCTAAACCCTGAACTCTAAACCCTAAACCCTAAACCCTAAACCCTAAACCCTAAACCCTAAACCCTAAAGCCTAAACCCTAAACCCTAAACCCTAAACCCTAAACCGTAGGTAGAGCCTGGCAGGAAAGCTGCAGCTCAGGGTCCGTGGGTTGGCGCCCAGTGGTGTTACGCTCCATGTGTCAGATCTTAAGATCGTTGAAGCTTGGCTCGGCTTTTTCGAGGTTGCTTCGGGTTGAGGGTTTAGGGTTTAGGGTCTAGGGTTTACTGTAGGGTTTAGGGTTTGACCTTCAATGTGGGGCGGACCCTCTGGACTGTGTTCCCCCTCCCCCCCTCCCCGCGCAAATTGGTGTTACGACTCGCGGAAGACTTGAGACTTTGTAGCGGACCCGCATGCAGCGGCTCGAGAATAGCCGGAAGGCTTGACGTTAGAGGGAGGGGTTTCCATTTTTTGGCCGCAAGGACTCTGAATTATAAGTTCCGTAGAGAGCCTTTTTAGCGCTGATTAAACAACAGAGACCTTCACAAATAGCAAGGACCCCGATGGAGTTTAAGGTCTATTCCTTTGTGCAGAGGTATTGGGATTCTTGGGGTTAGGCAAGCACAAGCCCAGCAGGCTGTGTGTCTACACCCTCAGCCCCAAACCCCAAGCCCTAAACCCTGAACCCTAAACCCTAAAGCCTAAACCCTAAACTCCCAAGCCTTAAACCCTAAACCCTAAACCCTAAACCCTAACTCCACATCAAAGGACTCGACCACCACCTTGGCCGACCAAAGCTTGCTGCCGCATAGCAGCACCCTCTCCTACACCCTAAACCCGAAACCCCCACGCCCACCGGATTTGTTGCCTTAGGGTTCAGGGTTTGAGGATTTTAGGGCTTTCTGTTTCTGAGTTTGCCCCCCCCCCCCCCCCCCCCCGTCCTCCCCTGCGCGTTTTTTCTGGCAGAATTCAGGTTTGCCCTTTCGGTTTCTAGGGTTGAAAGCTTAGGGTGTGGGGCTTAGGCGGCTTAGGGTTGCAGCGTTGGCTGGCTGGGACTGGTTACCGGCTATGGGAGACGAGATGGCGGGAACCTGTACGCCCCTACTTAATGCAGCTGTAGACTTCCTTGTGCAGTAGAGAGAAAGTTCCCAGGACGACTGATCCTCGAAATCCGGACATGCACAAGAAAAGCCTTTAGAAAGACCTAAACTCTAAAGGCTTTACCCAGAACAAAATGCACGAAACGAAAAACACAGCCCTCCAAAGGTATGTCCGTGAACCCCATGGTGTTCCTAAGTTCCGAAACGACAAAGCAGATCAATCCTGAGGGTTAATGGGTAGCTGTTGCAGGAACACCCGGGTCACCCTGTTGACAACAGGGTTTAGGGTTTAGGGTTTAGGTTTTAGGTTTTAGGGTTTAGGGTTCAGGGTTTAGGGTTTAGGGTTTAGGGCTACGACCCTAAACCCCAAACCCTAAACCCTATGAAGCCCGAACCCAGGATCGATCTGGAGAACAAATGCTCCGGCTCGCGCTGGGAAGTACAGCTGCCGGCGACTCCCGAGGGGACCCCGCGCCACGACTGGAGGGCTGGTTTAGGGTTTAGGGTTTAGGGTTTAGGGTTTAGGGTTTAGGGTTTAGGGTTGTTAAGGTTTAGGATGCAGGGTTTAGGGTTTATAGGGTTTATAGGGTTTATAGGGTTTATAGGGTTTATAGGGTTTATAGGGTTTATAGGGTTTAGGGTTCAGGGTTTAGGGTTTAGGATGCAGGGTTTATAGGGTTTATAGGGTTTATAGGGTTTATAGGGTTTATAGGGTTTATAGGGTTTATAGGGTTTATAGGGTTTATAGGGTTTATAGGGTTATAGGGTTTACAGGGTTTATAGGGTCTGTAGGGTTTGTAGGGTTTGTATGGTTTAATTATAGGGTTTATAGGGTTTACAGCGTTTGCCCTAGAATACAGGCCCTCCATGCCCTCTCTACTCTGCCAACACCACATGCCCTCTCTCAGCCCTAAGCCCGCTCAACTCTCTCAGCTATGAATCGTATAAACCCTACCGCATCAGCCCCATCAGCTCTAAACCCTAAACCCTAAACCCTAAACCCTAAACCCTAAACCCTAAACCCTAAACCCTAAACCCTAAACCCTAAACCCTATCATCAACCCTCTCAACCCTGTCAACCCATGAGCCCCAAGCCCACTAGATGCCCTTTACACCCCCCTTGTTGTCAACCGTCTACGCCCTCCAAGCCCTCCAAACCCTAAACCCTTAAACCCTTATAACTCTGATAACCCTTATAACCCTTATAACCCTGATATCCCTTATAACCCTTTTAACCTTTATAACCCTTGTAACCCTTAAACCCTTGAACCCTTGTAACGCTTGTAACTCTTAAACCTAAACCCTGAAACCCTTAAACCCTTAAACCCTTAAACCCTTAAACCCTAAACCCTTAAACCCTAGAGCCCTTGATTAAACCCTAAACCCTTTAACCCTAAAACCCTTAAACCCCAAACCCTGAACCCCTAAACTCTTAGACCCTAAACCCGCAGCCTGGGTGCAGCTCTTAGACCCAGAAAGCCTGGTTGTTTTTGTAGTGCTTGCTTCAGGGCTTAGGCTGATGGTTTAGGGCTTTCCTGAAGGCTCAGGGTTTTGTAGGGTGTTTCGGTTTTATGGGGTTTATAGGCTTGCTTCAGGGGTTCGGGTGTAGGGCTTACCTGAAGGCTCAGGGGTTTTTAGGGTTTTAGGGTTCGTAGGGCTTGTAGGGTTTATAGGGTTATAGGGTTTATAGGGTTTATAGGGTTTTTTGGGTTTATAGGGTTTAGGGGGTTTATAGGGTTTCGGGTTGAGCGTTTAGGGTGTACCTGAAGGCTCGAATTTGGGGTCAGTTATAGGGGCTTCTAGTATACCACCCCAAAAAGGTACTACGTAGGAGCCTTTAGGTAGCGTTTAGGGCGAATCATGAGGCGCGCAAAAACCGTACCGCATGAATTTACTTTGAGGTACCGTTCTTCATAAGTTATATCATGTTGGATCTCAACAATTCATTGCCACTTGCAAGGTATCTGGTCACGGTTACCTACGGAGACAAGAGGGCGGCGATTCAGACATCAGCCTGCTCTATTGGAACCTCTGGACAGATTCTCGTCACAAAGTCCCGAACTCCACACAACCCCAGGGTTTGCGGGCTACTAAGCTCATGGGACTGTGGGATTGTGGGAGTGTGCGCGTGTGGGATTGTGGGATTGGGAAAAGGGAGTATGCAAGTTTGGAATTTGGAATTCAGAAATTGCTGAATTCACGTCTTAAAGTGCTAGTCCTTCGCAAATTTCTAGATACGACAGCTTAAAAATCACATCCTAGAATTTGCTTCGCTTTGAAGGACTCTTATATATGTTAACATTTGAAGCCAGCCTGCAAGATGTACATAAGTTAAATAATGGAATTAGGGTCTTTTCAATTGTCTCAAGCTGTCCAAAATGTTCACGTTTGTAATTCAAACTAATTTTCATATCCGGGTGATCCTGGATCCCGAGTTAACGGAATCAAGAAATTTCACCAAGAAAAGCTGGCCAACCAATTCAAACAATTGAATGAAATAAACTTCGATCATTTCTTTTCTGATGTTGTCGGTTAACCAAGTCATTGGAATGATTTCAACCCGATGACACCCCGGAGTGACCGGAATCCTCAGATTTCTCCCGATTTTAACTGATGTAGTGTCATTTCAATCATGTAAACTATCTAACATTAATCACATTATGAAATACATTTTTTGATCTGGTGGATTCCTGGATCCAGAATTAGCGGAATTCAGAGACTCACGCGATCAAAGCCACTGTAAGTCATGTAAACATATACAAAAAGGCAAGCGTTCAAGAATAGAATTGGCGTCCAGTCGAACTCTAACACAAATTATGAATGCACAGGCCAACCAACGCAACTATTTGAATGCAAGAATTGGGATCATTCTTGAAACTTCACTTGTGGACCAAGTCACTCGCTTTAAATTTCAACCCGGTAAATTCCTGGAGCCAGAGATTTTGGTATCCGGAGATTTCACCTATATTCTGAATAATGGAACTTGTGTCAATAATCAGTTAAATGGCTTACATGTTAAAATGTACCACGGTATTGAGGCAAATTCTGATATTTAAATGTTCAAGGTAACCGGAATGAGGTCGGGAATTAAAAGCACACTCTATATAAGTGGTGGAGTTTATAATATGCATGAAAAGAGTTAGAATACTGCAAATATCGATGGTTTCTGGCATTGAACAAGACCGAAGTATGCATTGGATATATACATATATATATATGTGTATACAACAGCATATATATGTAAATATATATATATATTCTCATTCATTCGTTCGCTGTAGATGTAACATACACGCTATTTGGGGGGGGAAGGGGGGGGCCTAGGCGCCCTAAGTCTCAGCCGCTAAACCCTAAACCTCCAAACCATCCAAAGTTCGCGAAAACCCCCTAAAACAAACGAAAACTCCTAAAGCCAAGGCCTAAAGCCTCGAAACCCTAAGCTTCAACCCTTTTGTGCTACCCCGAAGCTCTATAGACCCTCAAGCCAGGGGTTAGGGTTTAGGGTTTAGGGTTTAGGATGTTCCTGACCCTAAGCTGCCGACCTGGAGTCTCCAATGTAGTCCCTTTTTGGGTTTGTTATAGAGGATTCTAGTATGCTATCCCAAAAAGGTACCACACAGGAGCCTTTAGGTAAGCTGCCTAAGCTTCAAACCCAAGACCCTCAACTACCGGGCCAAGGATGGTGGGCGCCAAGGCCAGCCCGGAGACGGTCTCCAAGGGCTCCACCAAGAGCGCGCCGGCTCGGGTTTTGGGTTTAGGGTTTAGGGTTTAGGGTTTAGGGTTTAGGGTTTAGGGTTTAGGGTTTAGGGTTTAGGGTTTAGGGTTTAGGGTTTAGGGTTTAGGGTTTAGGGTTTAGGGTTTAGGGTTTAGGGTTTGGCGTGTGGGGTTTTGGGGTTTAGGGTTTGAGGCTCGTTGTTTCGGATCCCTAAACTTGAAACCCTAGACCCTAGACCTAAACCCTAAACCGAGTTTATGGAGACTAGGGATTTTGGGGTTACGGGGCTGCTGAGAGAAGTTTTTACGGAGGGTAGGACGGGCCTAGAGCTGAGCTTATTGTTTACGCGTCGGATTGATGAAGGATTTACCTCACGCAACCGATGATCTTACCCTGAAGGATCCATGTGGGGGTTTTCGAAATTAAGGGTCCCTGGTTGGGGTCCTTTTATAAGGGAATCCTTCTCTTTGGGGGTACATATTAGGGGTCCCTTATTTTTTGTAGGCTCCCATGTGCCAATTCCCGGTATTCTTGGGCCTCGGAGTACTTATACTGTCTAATGATTCCGAGGCCCAAGCTTTTTCCTAAACCCTAAGCCCTAAATCCTAGCCCGTAGCCGTAAACCCTCAACCCTTATACTATCTTGGCATATGGACACTGAGGGCTAAGAAGGCTCAAGCCTGTCCGTCAGGGTGCTACTACTTTCCTGCGGGTTCTTATAGTAGGGAATGAGGGAGTTCCTATATAGGGTTTTTTGGGATCTTTTGGGGCTTTGGGGTTTTAGGGTTTGTAGGGTTTATGTCCCCGATGTATACCCTGTAAGGGATTCTACAAGGTACCTACTTCCTCATTCCCTACTAGGAACCAGCAGGTGTTGAATTCTTGGAGGTGTGCCTCTTTGGTGGCGGCATTGACGTTTTGGTTGCTGGTGGTGGGATGTGTCAATGAAAAAGTGGTAATGTTAAGTACGTTTGTAAATCTAGTTCTTGGGTCCTGCAACCTCACCCTTGTCTCCTCACCCTTGCCTTGGCTGCTCTGTACTCTTCCAAAACAACCCAGGACATATGGGACCCCCAATATAGATCCCCAAATAGTAGGATCCCCCTAGACTGAGGACACCAGCAAGGCACCCTAATTTCGGAAACCACCAAATCAACATGAAGTTATGAGAAGTTTGAGGGTAGGGTTTAGGGTTTTAGGGTTTGCAAGCCCCAGACGCTGCGAACCCTTAACTTTGAACCCCATTGAGCGCTTCGATTCCACCGGTGCGGTGGTGTTTGTGTGTGTGTGTGATTTGTGTGTGTGTGTGTGTGTGTGTGTGATTTGTGTGTGTGTGTGTGATTTGTGTGTTGTGTGTGTGTGTGTGAGTTTTTTGTTTTGGTGTATGTTGCATTGCTTTGTAGTGTTTTGCTTTTTCTGGGAGAGCTCAGGCGTGACCAGGACCGTGTTCGTGAAGGGAAACAGCGACGGACGCGGGAATTTGGTGCTGCTCGACTGTCGAAATCCCTTAGACCTCCATCCGAGGTTTTGGACTGTTGCTTTTAGTTGTCCACTGTTCTTTGGCAGGCTACATAGAAGTCACAAACTCAAAACGACTGAGGAGGTGTTGGGGTTAGGTTCAGGTGAGAGTTGGGTCCGATGTCTTGTTCTAATTACAGCCTTACCACATGAACCCTAAAACCTTACACAAGCCTTGAATAACCTGAAAGCCTAAACCCTAAACACTAAATTCCGAGTCAATCCCTGAACCTTTCCTTGCACTCCCCATTCAACTGACGCTGGAGCCTGATCAGCATCGGCCGGCCCCCAAGGCCATAAAGTAAAAATATCCTTCAAGGGCTCTTTGTCAAAAATTGTTTGGGCACCCTTTGCGCGGTCCCGCAGAAGGAGTCCGAGTTTCCGAACTACTCACTTCCCCACCCTAAACCCCAAACGCTAAACCCTAAACCCTAAACCCTAAACCCTAAACTACCCTAAGCCCATGGTCCCCTACTGCTCAAGAAACAGAAAGGCCAATGTCCGCGTGCCACCCGGCCTTCAACACCCCAAGCCTTGAATTCACCACAGAAGCTCCAAAATTTGGGGTTCTAAACCCTAAACCCTAAACCCTAAAATATAGGGGACCCTGACATAGACCCCCCAAATAGTAGGAGCCCCTTAGAGTAGCCTTACACTAGGATCCCCTTATAGTACGGACCCCAAGAAGGTACCCCTCAATATCCTAAGCCCCAAATACCCCTAAACCCTAAACCCTAAAACCCTAAACCCTAAACCCGGAACACCAGACTGCCGCTGAAATCCAAACCCAGAGCCCTCAACCATGAGCCCTAAATCCTAAACGCTCCTGCGTGGTACCTTTTGGGGGGCTAGCATACTAGAACCCCCCTAGAAATAACTCAAAAAAAAACTACAAGCCTCCAGGTAAACCCTAAACCCTAAACCCTAAACCCTAAACCCTAAACCCTAAACCCTAAACCCTAAACCCTAAACCCTAAACCCTAAACCCTAAACCCTAACCCTAAACCCTTAACCCGGAATTCCTGGACCGTCCAGGTTTGCTGGGGAGTCGGCGGGTGGCTGCACAGGGGTGCGGAGCATCAGCGCCTTGGATACCTTGAGCTTGGCCCCTGAGACCCCTACACCCTCAAAATTAAAGGGCTTAGGGTTTAGGGTTTAGGGTTTAGGGTTTAGGGTTTAGGGTTTAGGGTTTAGGGTTTAGGGTTTAGGGTTTAACTGGCCAGAATAGGCTCAATATCCTGGTTACCCGGAGTCATGAGTTCACAGGAGAGGTGCAATCAACCCTTCCCTGCAACTAGGCTCCTAACACACCAGGGCCCCACTTGCACAGATGTAGTAGGGTTTAGGGTTTAGGGTTTAGGGTTTAGGGTTTCGGGTTTAGGGTTTAGGGTTTAGGGTTTAGGGTAGCATTTTTTTTGGGGGGGGGGCTCCGGGTGGCTTAATTTCTTCACCACCCAGGCCGTGTGAGATGCACACTTGCTACGCATGGTACTACGCCGAGTCCTCCCTGGTAGGTCGAAACTTGATTCCTACCTTGTGTAGGGTTATATTATATGCTGTAGAGTAGAATCTGGTTCCCTTATCATGGTACCTTAAAATGTCCATTTCTTTTCCTTAAGAGCCAGAACGCGTTGATACCCCCAAACCCTTAATCCTAAACCCTAAACCCTAAACCCCTAAACCCCTAAAACCACCCCCAAACCCTTAATCCTAAGCCATAAGCCCCAAACCCCTGTAGTGTTGGGCTGGGGACTGCAGCGGTTCGTTACAATTTCAGACAGTTTGCTGTTTGCCCCAATCTGACTTTTGTTTTCACTACCTCAAGGCTCCTGTGTAGCATTTCTTCGTGTAGGAAACTAGAATCCCCTGTAACAAACCTCAAAGGAACTGCAATAGAGACTCCAGGTACATACTCCCATATTCTGAGCCTTGAGAAGACAGGTTTGGGGTTTAGGGCTTCCTTTTGTACTATCTACTTTCATATGAGCCGAAACTACCTTGTTGGAGACCCTAAACTCTAAACCCGAAACCCTAAACCCTAAACCCGAAACCCTAAACCCTAAACCCTAAACCCCTCACACCTCAAACTGTGCGTCATTTGGAGGTCCAAGTTGTCTTAAGGTCTCGGGGCGTCAGGGGCTGGAATTTGGAAGTGGGCTGCAGGTTTAGGGTAGAGGGCTTACCTGGAGTCTCTAATGTAGTCCCTTTTTGGTTAGTTACAGGGGATTCTAGAAAAACTACCCCCAAAAGGTACTACATAGGAGCCATAAAATCCACAGTCTGAAGGCCGAACTCTCTACTATTTTTGTAATGTGGTAACATAACAATATATGAATAGAATAGTAGAAATGTAAATAGAATGGAATAGTAAAACTATGCTAACAAGAATAAAGTTGAATAACAAATATTAATATAGCAACTGAATAAACATGTAGCGCTACAATCATACAGTCATATATTACTATTATCCTTGGACCGATACCACTGGGCCGCAGGCCGGTACTGAGAGCCCTTGCTGCCTGTGTGAGCTTGGAAGAGTATTCATTACAGTGGCATGGTTGTCCCAGAGCAGTTTCCTCACATGATTGCAAGTGTGTGCATGTGGGCGCGGAGTGGGTGTGTACACATTTTCCGATTGGCCCGCTAATGCCAAGAAACACAGTGGTTCGAGTTTTTTTGCTGTTTTTTCTGTTAACAGCAAAGACAGAAAACACAAAACATTTTTTCGACTTTGAAAGCTGGAGGGAGACTCACGGAAACTGACAGCCTCCACCGCACCCCAGCCACCCTAAACCCTAAACCCCTAAACCCTAAACCCTAAACCCTAAACCCTAAACCCTAAACCCTAAACCCTAAACCCTAAACCCTAAACCCTAAACCATCATCCTCAGGCGCCCAGCGTGAGGAGACCGTTGCAGCTCTCTCTTGCTTGCGGTGGTGTCGCATGTGCTTTTTTCGAACCTACAGCTCCTGAAAGGGGAAATGTAAGGACCCCTATATGGGTAGTTCTCTAAATTAGGGTCCCTTTTTGGGTACGCATTATAAGGCGGCACCCTTTAAAAGGGATCCCAAAAAGGGACCCTAATTTAGAAAACTACCCCTATATCATTCCCTTAAAGGGTATGTATAGGGTCCTGAACCAGCCAGTCGATCGTGGCGGCATCTCCGTAAGACCCTACAACTTACCTAAAGGCTCCTATGTAGTACCTTTCTGAGGTTGTAGACTAGAACCCCCTCTAAGCAACCCCGAAAAGGAACTAGATTAATTAGAGCCTTGTCAGGCAAACCTTATAAAGCCTAAAAACATACCGGGGAGGGGCGTTCATTGCAAAGAGCTCATCGTGCTTAGACAGCTGTGCGCTGGCTGGCGTACTGAGATGCATTGTTTGTGTTCTGTTTGTGTTTGCGTAACCTTGGCTTGCAATATGTTCGCGGCAAGCGCCTTTCTGACTAAGATGGCCGGAAGCCCTAAGCCCGGATTTCAACGAAAGGTCTAAACGCATCCTGAAGCATAAAATGCGACTTGAGACAGGATTCAGTTTTCTGGGCCTCCTGCGGAACTCCCTTCAGCCAGGCGCTGTTTGGTGCTGCGTGTTAAAGGCTGATTAAGCAGATTAAGTTTACCCTAAACCCTAAACCCTAAACCCTAAACCCTAAACAGTTTAGGGTGCAAGCTGCCAAAGGTGCGGGTTGAGACCTTGGGCTGTGTGGTGGAATCTAGCACACTTACGGTTTAGGGTTTAGGGTTTAGGGTTTTGGGTTTAGGGTTTGGGGTTTAGATGATTGTTTTCGGAGCTTTCGGAGACTTGGAACCCGAACCTTGCACTGTTGCGCTGGAGGGTAGACCTAAGCTACCCGAACTCGATGAAGCCAAACCCTAAACCCTAAACCCTAAACGCACCACGACGCCATAGACACCTAGACCTGCATCAGAAAGAAGATTGAATCTATACCTTCAATGATTGAGGTACATGTCCTGTCTTAAAGTGGATGTACGGGCCTGATTCTTAGCCTTAGAACATGCCGTGCTTGTGCTGACCCTTGCCCTCCCTCTCCCTGTCCGCTTTGAGCCACTCATCACCGCCAGCGCGACGCTGTTTGTTTTAAGGTCAAGGGTTCTGGGGATTTAGGGGGCGTTTAGGACCTTTACCCAAGGCCTCCTATGTAGTACCTTTTTGGGGTAGCAGTACTAGAGGCCGCCCAACATGTAACCCAAAAAGGAACTAGATGAGAGCCTTCAGGTACACCCTAAACCCGAAACCCTAAACTCTAAACCCTAAACCCCAAACCCTAAACACTAAACCCTAAACCCTAAACCCTCAACCCTAAACCCTAAACCCTAAACCCTACGTGAGGTTTGGAACTTGGCGGCATCGAAGCAGGCGCCTGGGAACATCCAGCCCCCATGGCTGCAAAGGTAGGGCCTCGGGCTTATAATCCTAGGTTTAAGGTTTAGGGTTTAGGGTTTAGGGTTTATGGATTAAAGGATCCTGAAGCTGCCAGTTAGGGCCTCTGAGCTACCACTACAAGACACCTGGAGGCTCGAATGTTGTTCGTTTTGGGGGTTAGGGGTTTGGGGTTTAGGGTTTAGAGTTGAATTCGGGTTTAGGGTCTACAGGGCTTAGGGCTTAGGGTTTGGGGATGCTCCTGGCCTGAGGCTCGTGCACCGTGGGCGTGCGGCTTCCGGATCTGGGGCATTGGCCTGCGTCGATCCAGCCGCTTGGGCGAAAGAAGGCTACAGTTGGGTTTAGGGTTTAGGGCTTAGAGCTTAGGGCTTAGGGCTTAGGGCGTAGGGTTCAGGGTTTAGGGTTTAGGGTTTAGGGCGTAGGGTTCAGGGTTTAGGGTGGAGGACCCTGGTGCCCTTGGCTAAGGGGGCTGTGGCCGGGCGCGGTTGAAGCCGAGCGCTCATCTTTGTCATAGTTGAGTTTAGGGTTTAGGGTTTAGGGTTTAGGATTTACATGTTTAAGGGTACTTAAGCCAAGCCCACTATGGAATGTAAATGTAGTTTTTTTGATATTATCCCAACCACTAAGTAGTCACCGGGAATCCAGAAAAAAAACATATGAAACAGGGTTTATATTTCTGTTATTGGTGAGTGTATATAGGCGTCCGTTCATTATTGGTGAGTGCATATATTGGGTGTCCTTTTGGGGATACAAGAAATATAAACCCTTCTTCATATGTGAAAAGCAAGAAATAAGTGAGCTAACAGACGAATACCGCGGGAATGCTAGTAAAGGAGAATGTCCTTCACAAAGTCACGCATCTGCTACATTCATATCTTCGTTCATACGCTAGATGAATTATAGGGGGCATACGACATCAGATGACAGGTGCACTCAGTTATATGATCACCGTACATTTCGTTCTCATTACTATTGCCTTCACATGTTATGTTTTTTCAACATTTTCTGGTGAGTTTTTCTTATCTTCACGCACCATTATCATGAACCGTTATCATGGTGGTTTGGGGAGAAACCTGCCGCAAGGCCACCGGCAAGATGGCCACGTGCGCCCACAGTGTGGAGGCTCCACACTCAACTTGTGCGGTTTTTTTGTCCCAGAGGGTGCACGTGCACTTCACGAACTCATACTATGTGGGTTTTTTTTTCGGGTATCCAAGTCCATAAAAAAGTACGACATGTGTCCCCCTAGGTTTAGTTGCCCTAAACCCTAAACCCTAAACCCTAAACCCTAATACCCTAAACCCTAAACCCTAAACCCTGCTTGGATTTTGGATGCAAGCCAGAGGATCCAAAAGGTGACCACCAGGAGGGCTTTAGGAGTGAATGAACGACGCACGCTCGTTTCCGACGGGCCCACCGTTTTTTTTGTTTTGTTTTGTTCCCCCCCTAAACCCTAAATCCTAAACCCTAAACCCTAAACCCTAAACCCAGTTGATGACAGTTTTTTTTTGTTTTGTTTTGTTACCCCCCCCCCCCTCCTCTTTGCCCATATTGTTATATTCCGGGCGTACATTAAACAAGCTCGTGCATTTAAAGCCCGTATTATAATATTTAGACTTGGAGATGCAGACAGAAGACTCATGCATCTAGCTCCAGCTCCAGCGGTTAGACTCTGAACCCTAAACCCTCAACCCTAAACCCCAAACCCTAAACCCTAAACCCTAAACCCTAAACCCTTTTGTTTCCGAGGTTCTAGGGCCTGGGCCACTCCAGGGTTTAGGGTTTAGGGGCAGCCGGGGCTTAAGCTGTTGAAGGTCTTCTTGCGGTGTCTTGGGCTTCCGGATGTTGGATCTCACCCTATGGTTCAGGGTTTAGGGTTAGAGTTTAGGGTTTAGGTTTAGGGTTAGAGTTTAGGGTTGGAGTCCTGCCAAGAACCCTCTAAGCCGCAAACGTTTAGCCCTAAACCTTTGCGAGCCAATGCGCGACGCAGGAGCACGTCAAGCAGGCACGAGGGGAAACCCTGGTATCGAGGTTTGGATTGGGGGGTCATGGACCCAAACCCTCGACTTTAAAGCATGAAGCTAGCCTAAAGCCTCAATTTAAGTCCCTGTACAGTAACCCAAGTATGGCTCCGGCCTGAACATTGGATACCCTCGACAGTGAACCCCAAACTGCCCTAAACCGGGTTTGGGGTTTAGGCGGGTTTAGGGTTTAGGGTTTGGGGTTTGGGGTTTGGGGTTTAGGGTTTGGGGTTTCGGGTTTAGGGTTTAGGGATGTCCCTCGTAGTGGCGTTCCTCTCCTATTAGGGGGCACTTCATTAAGCGACTACTGGTTAGGGTTTAGGGTTTCGGGCTTCCTAGCTTCTGAGCCGCAGCGATCTTGTCCCAGAATGGTTTCGAGCTCGCAAACCCGTGTGGCTTTAAGCCGAGCGCTCTTCAAGCCTCTGAACCCCTGAACCATGGACCTCTAAGCCGGGAAACCCCCCAAACCCCAGACCCCAGACCCCAAGCCCCAATCCCTAAACCAGAACCCTGAACACCTGAATCCGTGACCCACTGATGGTGTCCAGGTGTTTTCCATGGACTACTTGGCCCCGCTCGTGGCGCAATGGACTGGCCAGACCACAAATGTGCTTGCTTTAGGGTTTAGGGCATTAGGGTGGTTTAGGGGTTGTACAGCTGCAAACACTATAAACCCTAACACCTGAAACCTAAACCCTATAAAACCCAATAAACCCTGAAGCTGGGTGAAGCTGAGATGTTCCCCATTATACTAACAGTCCTGAATAGAGAGTGCCCCCTTTTATATTCCCTATCAAGGACTGCTGTTTGTGAAAAGGGGGAACATCCCAACCCTGAAGTCGTAGCCGTAGCCCCCTAAACTCTAAATCCTAAACCCTAAATCCTAAACCCTAAACCCAGGGTTGCAGGGCTTGAATGGGCTTTGGGTTTGGAGGACACAGTTCGAGTCCGGGCAGAACCTGCAGCAGGGCTCATGTGTCAGGGCCCACGCAAAGCCGCTCGTCCCGATAGTTTTGTTAGAATTCGTGTGGTGTGTGTTGGGGGTTAGTTTGCATTTATACGCGCGCAACCCAAGAGAATGTTGTTTCCTCTAAGATACATGCGTGTTCATTGCAAGAGAATATCGGACGGTGGGTGTTGTTTTGTCTTGGGTGATTGCTCCCTTGGGGTTTCCGGATTCCTTTCCAAGGTTCGCAATGCTAAACAGCAGTGCTGGTGGGAAGGTTATGCTTCGTCGTTGGGAGGGTGAAGGTCACACATACATGGTTACATATGTTTTCCATTTCACAATGTTGAATTGTCTGAAGTCAATTTGTTTTCAAAGCTGTTTGTTTTACCTGAGTATCGGACAGAACCGAGGGAACAGCTAGCCGTGAGTCGATCGGAGTCAGCGCGGGTTTGAACACTGTTTGAACGCTATATTGTGTGCATATATACAAGTTAGTACACATACGCATATTTATTTTTTATGTAGATATGTATGCATATTTATATTTATATTTTTGTAGATCTGTATGCATATTTATATTTATGTAGATATGTATGCAGAAGCTGCAGCCTTGTTAGCGGATGCCCTGACGTGTGTATGTAAGATGTGTATGCAAGTGGGTTATGACATACGTATTTGCGTATACGAATACTGCGATTACTGTCTTAATTATGTCAACAACTGTGCATGCGTGCGCATGTGTGCTTGTATATGTTTGCTGTACGTACAATTTCTATGTGCAGTCTCGTTCCCGTATCCCATTCCAAAGATTGTCAAGCTGTCCTTGTTATTGGTATTGTGGCGTCTTGCGGCAGCCATGGATCGGAAACGTAGATTAAACAAAAAAAACATGCCCCTTCGCCTCCCAATCACACACAGCTACGTGTAAGCTTCTATAACCCCCCCAGACATGCAACTAGCCCCTAAACCCTAAACCCTAAACCCTAAACCCTAAACGCACCTTAGACCTAGAGAATTGCAATCCGAACAAGATCTGATATGCAGGGTAGTCTGAGGCGCTTGCCCCGTGCCATCGGGCTTCTGATCGTGCAAGGTGCATTGGGGTTTAGGGTTTGTAGGGTTAAGGGTCTTCCTGTGCTGAGGGAAAAACTGCAAACCCTAAACCCTAAACCCTAAACCCTATACCCTAAACCCTAAACCCTAAACCCCAAGAGTCTTGAGCCTTCTGGGTAGCCGAGGTATCTCCCAAACTTGGACATCAACTCGAACCTCGTGTCGTGTGGCACTGGGCAGGTGCCCATTGCGCCTGTACGACTTGGGCTTAGGGTTTCCCTGAACCCTAAACCCTAAACCCTAAACCCTAAACCCTAGGGTTTAGGGTTTAGGGTTTGGGGGCTGGGAAGCCATAGCCCCAAAACCCTGCGAATAGATTGATCAGGTTCCTCTTGACTCCCTGATCCCTCATTTTTGAGAGCCTTTGTCGGAAAGCCGCGGCGCAGGTTCTGAGCTCATTTCTGTTCCGGCAAGACAGCACCTGCAACCATGTGGACTACTACCGCCCCTTAGCAACAGTTTGTTGTGTGCCCGAACCCTAAACCCTAAACCCTAAACCCTAAACCCTAAACCCTAAATCCTAAATCCTAAATCCTAAATCCTAAACCCTAAACCCTAAACCGCTACCCTATTCCGTTGATGGGGTGTCGGGTGTGGGTGGAGGGTTTTGGTCGGCCCAGGCGGGGTTTTCAAATCGAATTGCAGACAGGGTCAGGACACTTTATGGCTTTAGGTTGTAGGGTTTAGGGGTTAGGCTGCAGGATTTAGGGTGTAGGGTTTAGGGTTTTGGGTTTATGTCTGGTTCAGGGCACAACACTTGCATATTTGCCTTCCGTTCACCACTTGATCGTTGGGGGGGGGGGGGGGGCTTTTCGAAGCTAAAGATTGCAGCTTTATACAGGGTCTCTAGAGTTTTCGGAGGGCTGATGAGGGCGTGTCGGGGTAGGTTTAGGGTTTAGGCCGTAAAAACCCTGAACCGAGGTAGACAGAACCACCCTGAGAAACCTGTTGCCGTAGAGGAATGCGTGGCTCTGAGGCTACTTCTACACCTGCACCACCATCATACCAGTCACGGGGATTGCATCCTGCTCACAGAAGTCGACGCGGTGCGTCGCCCACAGCAGCCCGGCAGCGAGGAAATGGGTTTAGGGTTTAGGGTTTAGGGTTTAGGTTCGAGGGTTTAGGGTTTAGGGTTTAGGGTTTAGGGTTTTATTGTGGTCGAATCTCATAGGTAAGCTGTGGTGCTAGGATTTTGGGATATGGGCACCTCGGTAGCTGTAGTATGGTCCCTTACTCTCTTCCAAGGGTTCTGATGTATGGGCCCTTGGGTTGTATAGGGTGCACAATGGATACATAGGGGTCCCATTTTAATACGGGCCCATACTAAGGGACAATGAAACTAACCAAAGAACCTGGTAATTCCTAGACAATCTACAGTTCAAGGCCTCCCCACCTGCAAGCTGCGCAGGGTTTTTTGTGTTCCATCTGCTTGCGTTCCCTCAAAAACTGAAAGTTATCAAGCTACGCAATGCGTTCCCCAGGAAAACGCCTTGCGTTCCCCAGGGAGTCCATATGTCATATCGATACCCCGACCTGCTAAACCTAAACCCTAAACCCTAAACCCTAAACCCCAAACCCTAAACCCTAAACCCTAAACCCTAAGCCTTCTGGGTTCCTTTGCCCTAAGGGTTCCTATGCAACTCAGCATTAGCCCCACATTGTTGGCTCTTTGGATAGCTTTTATTTCTCTACTTGGGTTTAAGAGCATGATGTTTAGGGTCTAGGGTTTAGGGTTTAGGGTGTTTCAGATGGTTTAGGGTAAGGGGTCAACCTAGGTTGTCAGTATATTGTCACTATGTGGGACAAACTATAAGGCTCAACCTACTGGTTCTTTGTAGGGCACCTGGTTCCCTCATTCCCTACTAAGAACCAGTATGCCACAGTTCAGGCTAACGTCCGCCCTAGACCCGAAACCCGAGGCCCTGAACGTACCATCTAGGGTTCGGGTTTAGGGTTTAGAGTTTAGGGTTTAGGGTTTGTGTGTAAGGTTTAGGGTTGGGTGCTTGTAGGGTTTGGGGTTTACGGTTTAGGGTTTCGGGCAACACGCACACACCCCCCAAGCCCGACATTCTCAGGCTTCATACTTGCTAGCCCACTGGTACCCTTTTCCCTTTTTCTTGGGTTTAGGGTTTAGGGTTCAGGGTTTAGGGTGTACCCTTTCCCCTTTTTTTGGTTCAAGGTTCCCTTCTACATGAACCATAAGCTACCTAGAGGCTCCAATGTGGTACCTTTTTGGGATAGTATACTCGAATCCTCTACAACAAACCCAAAAAAAGGGACTACATTGGAGACTCCAGGTAGCTCCTCTGCAAACAGTGAAACTCCCAAGAGGCGCCCTAAACTCCCTGCAAATCCTTTAAGCCCAGCGCACGGTCAGCCCGATAGACCTCCAGAAGCCCCAGAAGCACCCTGAACCCCAAAACCCCTAAGCCCTAAACCCTAAACCCTAAACCCTAAACCCTAAACCCTAAACCCTAAACCCTAAACCCTAAACCCTAAACCCGAGCAGCCTCCTTCAGGCAAAGCCGATCCCCACGTCTGGGAGCTCGATCGCCACGATGTCGGCGCTCACTGTGAAGCAGGAGCCGGGGTTTAGGGTTTAGGGCTTAGGGTTTAGGGTTTAGGGCTCAGGGTTCAGGGTCTAGGGCTCAGGGTTTAGGGTTTAGGGCTTAGGGTTTAGGGCTTAGGGGCTCAAAAGACGTCCGGAAGGCGCGGATCTAGGGCTATAAAGGTGCTTTGGCAAGTTGCAGCCCTGAAGCCCAATTATTAGTCTTTACGGTTTTGGGGGTTCAGGGTTCTCTCACTGCGTTTACGAGGATCATATGTAGGAATATCCTGAAGCCCATGTCCCCGAAGCCCTGTACGATTTGTTGTTTTCCCTGGGTTTCGGGGTTCGGGCTTAGGGCTTAGGGCTCAGGGCTCGGGGTGCCCTTACTGGGGTTTAATAGAGGATCATTTTCAGGAATCTGTTTCACAGGGCTGTCAGGGCCATACCAGGGATGGCTCCCAAGATTGTTTGGTGTTGAAGCGTTGGTGATAGCTCTCACTATTCTACGGTTTGCTAAAGAACCCCAATAGAATAAAACATGATGATCCCTATATTACCTTCAATAAGGAAGAATATTTTTTGGGGGTTCTTAAGCAATTAGTTGTATTTGGTTATGCCAAAACCGGCTCAGAATTTGGATCAACCCACGGGGCTTGGCTGGAAGGGTGGGTGGAGACACTTCGACCCTGCGCATGGCAATCCGTTTGAAACCCTGAGCCTTCGACCCCTAGACCACTTTCCGCCCATCGCCGGCCCCTAAGCCCTAAACCCTAAACCCTGAACCCTGAACCCTAAACCAGCCCAGGATGTGCCTCAAGAGTTCGACACTTCGGTGTTTGTAGGGCTTTCGATTCAAGCGTGTCTGCAGAAAAGCAGGTGGGGGGGTGTTCATAACGCTCTGAAAGAAGGACCCACTCCACTCGGGGGATAGTCAGAGGGTCCATATTGCGGGGGGACGGGCGGCTCGGGCTGCGGGGTCGGGGGGGGGGGGAAGAGGCAGAATTGGTGTTTAGCTCTATCATCATTGTTTTCAGACATCACTCGTGGACAGAGCCAAATGTCAGCGAGTGTTCAGGAGTTGGCATGTACGGTTTTTGGTTTTGGGTTTAGGGCCGAGCTATCTTTCGAAAATTGAAACCCTAAACCCTAAACCATTTTAGGACTAGTAGACTCCGAGGGTCATGAACTTGGTATGGGTTTAGGGGGTTTAGGGTTTAGGATTTAGGGTTTAGGTCTTAAGGGTGTAACGGGGTAGGGTGGAGTATATCAACTAGGACCCAGCGTAGACCCTCATTTTCTTTTTTTCGGGTTTCGGATTCCCTTACAAACCCCCTTCAAACCGAGAACCATGTGACCTGCTCATGGGTCCCTTTTCTACCCCCCTTTTTCTATTCTACCCCTCTAAACCCCAAATCCTAAACCCTAAACCCTAACCCCTAACCCCTAAACCCTAAACCCTAGACCCTAGACCCTAAGGAAAGAGGGGGGGGAGAAGGGAGACCCATGACCGACATGCCGCAGGAACACTGCTCACCAAGTTCGCCTACACCGACTGCACCGGCGACGATGGTGGCCACCCCAGAGCTTGAGCTGTGTGGTTTAGGGGTTGGGGTTTGGGGTTTAGAGTTTAGGGGGGTCTAGGGGGTTTGGGGTTTGGGGTTTGGGGTTAGGGGGGTTTAGGGGGGTTTGGGGTTTGGGGTTAGGGTTTGGGGTTGAGGGGGGTTTAGGGGGGGTTGGTTGGGGGTTTAGGGTTTAGGGGCTTCAGGGTTTAGGGGGTTTGGGGGGGTTTTATGGGGCTTTACGGGGGTTTACGTGGGTCCCGGGGTTCATGGGGGGGTTTAGGGGGTTTAGGGGCTTCAGGGTTTAGGGTTTCGCGTTTGAGAGGTCGTGCTGCCCTTGCTTGCTGGATCAAGTAACCAGGAGCCTGCGAAGGTCCTTTCTCGCCTGTTTCGGGGTTTAGGTTCCCTTCTCAGCCCCTAAACCAAAAGGGCGCCTAAACCCTAAACCCTAAACCCAAAACCCAAAACCCTAAACCCCAAACCCTAATTAAACCCTAAACCCTAGACCCTAAACTCTGACCCTAAACCCTAAACCCTAGTCCAGGTACTGATTCCTCTCAATGAAGCCCTCCAAGAGATCGAACTTATAGTGTCTAGGGCGGGCCGAACGTTAACGGGCCTTTACTGTGCGAGCTCACTTACGTCTGTTAAGACAAGAACCAAAAAAAACCTACTTTTTTGTAGGCTACGCGACAAACCCTCGAATGGGGGTTGAGAAGAAATATAAGCCTACAAAAAAAGAGGTAGGCTTTGGGGTCTTGAGGTACACCCTCCACCGAAACAGCCTGCGTACAAGTTGTCGATGGCAAAGCTTCTCCCCCTAAATCCTAAGCCACCCTAAACCCGAAACCCTAAACTGCCAATCTTCACATTTCCCCAGGGTCGCATCCGCAACCCAAGGGTCTGCATGGGCATGGTGGCCATGTACGTGTTGCAGAAGGGGGTTAAGGGTTTAGGGTTTAGGGTCTAGGGTCTAGGTTGCAAGCAGAAATATGTTTTTTGTGCCTTCCATCCGCTGAAAACGGGCCTCCGTTTACATTCGTAGGTAGCTCGAATGCAACACAGGCTTAAGGTCTGGGGTATAGTGCCAAACTCCGTCAAAACCGAAATCGCTAGATCTGCAATAGAATATCAACCTGCTACGCGCAAACACGCCCAAGAACCTGCAGACCTTATAAGCCCTTCTCCCCCAAAATAGGGGTTTGCGAAAATGAAGAGCCCCTAATATAGACCCCAGATATTCGGACCCCGTTCTAAAACAGGACCCCAATAAGGTACCCCTAATTTCGGAAACCCCAAAATCTTGAAGCCCTGTCTACCCGCCCTAGGGTCGACCCTCAGAACAGATCTCTTGAGGTCATGGATACAAGTACACCTACACTTGCTGCCCCGTCCAAGGCAGTAACCAGGGCTTATTCTTCCTATGTCCAAGGAGGTTAGGTCCGCAGCACACCTGAAGGCTGTAATGTAAGTCCTTTTTCCTGGGATGATCTTTAGGGGATTCTGGTCTACTGCTCCAAAAAAAACTACTACATAGGAGCCGAGTAGGTGAGGTCAGCCCTAAACCCTTAAGCCCTAGGGGGTTTTTGGGATTCGAGTCGCATTCAAGTTAACTGCGTTTTTTTTTGCGTTCAGGGATTCAGGGTTTAGGGTGTAGCGTTGGGTGGAAGCATCGTAGTACCTCTTGCGGTTCGGGTTAAGGCCCCTATACGGGCCTTATGTGGGGTTGAGATCATACAGATGATGCACCTGCATGGTGTTTGATCCCGATGCTGTGCCCTTTGTGGTGCCCTAAGCTATACTTGGAGGCTCATGGTACTTATTCACCCATTGCAACTGTACTTATAACTGTACTTATAAGCCTCTCCAAGGAACTTACTAGATCACACCCAACCCCCCCCCCCCCCCCCCCCCCCCTTACATGGGAAAGGACGGGGTTGAGGGGTTGAGGGTTTAGGGTTTAGGATGAGGGTTGAACCCTACACCCTACACCCTACACCCTAAACCCTAAACCCTGAACCCTAAACCCTAAACCGTTTAGGGTTGGGGGGGGGGGTTTTCGGGTTTATGGGAAAAGTCGCCTGGCAGGTCTGGGCGACTGCCAGGAAATCAACACCGAATGGGGCGAAGTGGGGGCACTGAGCTGCCCGGCTTCTCTTCGCCTTGCCCCATGGGGTTTAGGGTTTAGGGTTTAGGGTTTTGGGTTTAGGGTTTTGGGTTTAGGGTTTAGGGGGCTTAGGGTTTAGGGGGCTTATAGCCTAGGCTTTTGGGTTTAGGGTACGAACCCAAAACCATTTGACCTGACAGCACTTCAGGAGGCAAGAAGAGCGAGAGTCTGTGATTCAGGTGCTTTGCTGTTCAGATTTAGCTACCTGAGCTACCTACACGAAGCCCGGAACCCTGAAGCCCATAATTCGGGTTTTAGGGTTTAGGGCTTACTCCAGGTTACTCTTGGGAATACAAAGAGCCCCCCTCCCCCCCACCCGCCTACTTGGAGGTGCATGGGTAGATGTGCTTTGGGGTTACTACAACTGGTTGTAACCTGTTTTAAGGTACTTAGAACCCTACTTATATCACATGAACCTTCAAGTAAGTACAAGGGCCTTGAGTTACAAGCATCACGACTTAGACGAACAGAAGTCACTTACCTAAAGGGTCATCTTGCAGAACTACTATGGAATTAAGTAACCAAACCCTTAAAGGTATGGCTTTCGGTACCAGATTCCAGACTCATCCCATAAGTAGCTGCTCTGGGTCAACTGTATACTATAGCAAGCGGCCGCCTCCGTGTAGGGCCGTTTGGGGTTCAGGGTTTAGGGTTTAGGGTTTAGGGTTTAGGGTTGCAGGGCCGTTTGGGGGCTTGTTCGCAAAGTTGGGGCCTTAATCCCTCAGCCTTGCCAGGATCTGTGGGAGATTGGACAGACAGCAAGTACATGAACCTACTAAATACTCAACACCCTGAATCTTAACACCCTAAATCTTGAACCCTAAGCCCCAAAACCCTCATACCCTAAAACCCTATATACACCCTATACAAGCGGCTGTTGGCATATGCACGGTGCCTAGGGCGGCCTCACACAGTCTGGTCCCTACTTGGAGACTCATGGTACTTAGTAACCAATTATAACTGTGGGGTTTAGGGTTTAGGGTTTAGGGTTTAGGGTTTAGGGTTTAGGGTTTAGGGTTTAGGGTTTAGGGTACCTATAACTGTACGTATAGCCACATTAGGGCACTTAGGGGGCTTATAAGTGGGTTATAAGTACAGTTATCACTGGTTGCTAAGTACCATGAACCTCCAGGTAGTGCCCCGAGCTACTTAAGGCCAAAGCAGCGAGCCTGACATCGCGATGGCAACCCCCGAACCCGGCTCCCAGGACCCTAAACCCTAAATAAATGCTAACCCTAAACCCTAAACCCTCAACCCTCAACCCTCAACCCTCAACCCTCAACCCTCAACCCTCAACCCTCAACCCTCAACCCTCAACCCTCAACCCTCACACCCCAAGCCTCGGGGTAAGAGTCAGGTTTCGGGTTTTTTTGCCAAGCTCGGTTCAGGGTTAGCAGTGTTTTGGGTTATCAAGAACTAGCTGGCGGGTCTTGACCACGATTGCTTCAACCCAAATCCCCAAAGCCCTCAAAGCTTTTAAAGCCTTACAAAGCCCTAAGGCCCTTAAATCCCTAATCCCCGAATATCCACATAGGAATCCTGGTCTCAGGTGACCTTACAACCCTGCAGCACCATCAGCTTCAGCGCCCCAGAGGACTTATGAGTTTACCCGGGAAGGTCCCTAAACTAGAATATAGGTGCTCTTGCAATACGGGTGCAATCCAATGAGGTCCAGAACTTAGAGAACCCCTTCCCCCTCCCCGCCATTACCTGCAGGTTTTTGGGTTATGCAAGGAAGGGGGTGATTCCTAGCAAGCTGAAGGTAAGATGAGTTGCTGGGGTCTTGTGGCTTCTAAAGGGTGTTAGGGGTTTAGTTTTAGGGCTCCTTCTCAGGGTGTTAAGACCTTAGGACGTCCGGGTTCAGGACTTCAGTGCTTGAGGCTTATCCAGGTCCGCACGTGTTGGGGTGTTAGGGTTTGAGAGGGTTCAAGTTAAGCAGGCTTGGGGCGTTGTATGCGGCATACGTAGGGAAACCCTGTCTTTTTTTTTCCGAAGGGGTAAATGCACCGATATACCAATGGCCAGGGAATCTTGGCTGAGGAGTAGATGTTTCACTCCAGGAAAGCTAAGAGGACCTGGGGCCGTAAGTGTCCACGCACGCGTTAGGATGTAGGGTTCAGGGGTTCGGGTTTAGGGTTTGGGGTTGAGGGTTGAGGGTTTTAGGGTTTAGGGTTTGGGGTTTAGGGTTTGCTGTATTATGGCGTACAAGCTGTAAATGTGACGGTTTTCGGTAGAGCCTTGAAGGCATCGAGCAATGCGAAGGGCGGCCATGGCCCGATCGTGGAGGGCCTAACATTTTTCTCCCACCCCACACCGTCTCACCACCCAAACCTGTTCCTTTTTGGGTTTAGGCCTAAACTCAAGCCAACCGCCCACTTCTAAAACTTCTTCCATTCCGGGGCGCGTCGGGTCTCAAGCGGGTCGTTGCAGGGGGTTCGCAGGGGGGTGCCAGAAGCGCATGGTTTCTGGGCACGCTGCGGCGAGCCGCGGCGAGGGGTCCGGGACCCCTAGGCTGGGCCCCTTGGGGGTAGCCCTGAATGCAAGGGTTAGGGTAGTGAACGACCTGGGTCGGCTTGCGCCATCGAGGTCGAGGGGCTTAGGCGCCGCCCCCCAGGGCGCCAGCGCTAAAAAGCAATGGTTTGGGTGGTGGCCTGAAACCTCACAGCGGGGGGGAGAAAGAAACCTAGCACCAATGAAAAATTGCTGGATTGTATTGAAAATATATGTGTCGGATTTCCACATGGCACTTACTGCCGCTGCGGGGCGAGACGCCCTAAACCCCACACCCTAACCCTAGACCCCTACACCCTGAACCCTATAGGCCCTCGAACCCCTAAACCCAAAACCCCAAACCCCAAACCCTGGAATCGAAACCCCTAAACCCTAAACCCTAGACTAAACACGCTAACCCCTAAACCCTAACCCCCCCCCCTCCCCCAAACAACAAAACAAAACATCAAGCATAGCCCTAAACCCCAAACCTCAAACCCTCAACCCCCAACCCTAAACCCTAAACCCTAAACCCTAAACCCTAAACTCCCAAAACCCTAAACCCTTCCACCCCGAGGTGCCCTAGTGATAGCGGCCTCAAGCGCTTCCTCCTCGAGGCGCAGGTCCCTGAAGTGGCAGAAGGGGAGCCGCGCGGCGGATTTTTGATTTGTGGGTTTAGGGTTTAACAGTTTAGGGTAAGGGGTTTAGGGGTTTAGGGGTTTAGGGGTTTAGGGGTTTTGGGGTTTTGGGGTTTTGGGGTTTTGGGGTTTTGGGGTTTTGGAGTTTTGGGTTTTGGGTTTAGGGTCGAATGCTTCAGGTGTCAGGGTTGAGGATTGACACATTCTAAACCCTATACCATAACGCTAAACAGGGCCGTACGGTTGTAGGGCTTTGGGTCTTGAGGGCTTTTTAGGTTAGGACTTCGGTGTTTGAGTGCTTTGGGCTTGGGGCTTGAGGAATTGGGAGTTGAGTGATTTAGGGTTTAGGGTCTGGGTTTGGGGTTTAGGGTCTGTAGTAATGCGTTCTGGGTTTGTTTACCTTCGCTCACTCTAGAACGTCTCCGCCACCACAGTATCATCGTCAATTTTGCTCTGGATCCCGCTCATGATCCAGTAACCCCGAGCCCGACAAAGAGACCTCTACGCCAGTTGCTGGGGTTTAGGGCTTGAGTTCTCTGACTCTGCCTGTATAGCGCAACGGTGAGAAGCTCCGGAATGAAACAGTTCTCGACATTCGAAATTGCAGGGTCATTTTGGGCCTTTGTGGTTCAGGTGGGCTACGGTTTCGTGCGTGCGGTACCAGGAAGCAGTTGCAGGGCCTGTTGATGGGTCGGTGAGTTGAGGAGGCATTCATATATGAATAAACAATCAAAGAACCTTCAGGCTTGAAGGCCCCTAGGTAGTTGTAAGTCTGGCTATAACTTACAAGTAGCCCTAAATAAGTCTATAACATCTCATAACTATAGTTAACTTATTTTATGATCCCAGTTATAGCTACCCATGAACCTGCAAGTGAGGTTCAAAAGGCTGACGTCGATTCTATGTGTGTGTGTGCGCGCCCATAATACAGGGTTTCCGAAAATGGGGGTACCCTTTTTGGGGGTTCCTATAATGAGGAGCATCTTGTTTTTTTGGTTATTCGGGGCACCCCTTTTTTTGGGAAATGCCCATATGGCATCACAAAGCCTTGTGTGCAACAAAACGGCCATGCGGGAGGCTGCTGCAGATGATTGTTAGCAATGGGGCCAATGAAGTTCTCGTCTCTAGCTGCGTTCTGAAGGTCAATGGGTAGGTGTAGTTAGGCACAGGGCCGCTTGATAGAAACACGTCAGCAGCGATGGGGTTACTTTGAGAGATCTGGCAGGGTTGGTTTTGATCTTCTTGAGTCGCGAACCTGGGGTTGTTGAACGGTGTGATGTTCAGGAACGACATGCAGGGGTGTTCGCCTCAGTCCCGTGCGCATTTTGGGTCAAAATCGCGCTCTCGCCTAGGCGCGCATTGATTGAGTCATGGCTGCGGCACTTCCTGCAAGATGACTAGGAGGCTTCCATGCGCTTCCAGGATGCAAACTTTATACACCCTTTTAGCTTTACACCCCAGAGGAACGTGCCGTTGTTATCCGTTGTATGTTCCCTTTGACTTGGTGCAAGGTTGCTCTTTAGGCACGTGCTTGTGATGGCCTGATTTTCGCTCTTTTTCCGTCCCACGCAGCTGAGAACATCAGCATGGTCACAGTTGCCCGTGTTACCATGTCGCAAGCGGAACCAGAAAAACCCTAATTTTAACACCCTCCCAAGACCCTAGACCCGACCCCTTATGTATATCTGGTTCCGTGTCCCGTGTCGGTACCCCCCCCCCACCCCCCGCCCTGGTATCCCCACCCTAAACCCTAAACCCCAAACCCTAAACCCTAAACCCTAAACCCTAAACCCTAAGCCCTAAGCCCTAAGCCCTAAGCCCTCAACCCAAATGCCAACCACGCCACC